CAGACAGTTGATGGAAAATTCTACGTCGATGTGCTCAGACGCCTCAAAGCTCGTGTGGCACGAGTTCGTCCAGAATTGGCGCGAGAGGGGCGTTGGATTCTTCACCACGACAATGCCCCTGCCCACACCTCTCTTGTTGTCCGTGAGTTTTTGAGTAAAAATTCCATTACGGTGACCGAACACCCCCCCCCTATTCGCCGGATTTGGCCCCGTGTGACTTCTTCTTGTTCCCAAAAACCAAATTGGTACTTCGGGGGCGGCATTTGGGGGACATAAATGAGATAAAAAAAGCTACGACGGGGCAGCTGAGAAACCTACAACCAGAGGACTTTCAAGGAGCCTTCTCACAGTGGAAACGGCGTTGGCACAAGTGCATTATGTCACAGGGGGAGTACTTTGAAGGGGATAAAATTGATTTACCTGAATAATTGTAAAATAAAATTTTTAAAAAACTTTTATACGTACTTTCCGGACAAACCTCGTATATAACTCAAAAAACCGACAATTGATCGGGACGAAAGGTTCTTGAGTGGCGACACCGTACAAGCAAGCCCAGTGTAAGACGACTCGTTACTAAATAGGGGGGAAGGGATTGTTAGTAATACGGACTACCACTCCCTATATACCCTGTTAGGTTGATCTCCACGTGGTCCTCCCTGGAAACCATCGTGCTGAATTCCGTGTGTATTTTTTTTTTATGAGTGAAAATGGTATGGTATCCCCGCCTGCGCTAACGGGATATGCTAGCGGAGCACCAGTGAAGGGTAATTGATGAGAATGTAATTAGTTAGCCTATCATGATGAATTCATCAGGAATTAACCATGATAGTTTCTAAGGGGAACCGCGAGGAGGTCGACCTGGTTGGGTATATTGCTAGCAATGGGATTCTTAGTCTCTATGATTAACAATCCCTTTCCCCCCATTCCGTGTGTATTCATCACGATGGGCTAACTGATCTGCTTTTTCATCCTCACCTATCATCCCTCACTGGTGCTCCGCCAGCGTATACCGTTAGCTTAGACGAGGTTACCACTACAATACCATGCATAAAAAACCGCTACAATGTATTATATATGAAGTGACGACTATAAATACATTGCATGTGGTGTTGGGGGGAAGGGATTGTTAGTAATGGGGAGGGTAGTCCCCACTGCTATCAATATCCCCTATCAGGTCGACCTCCGCGCGGTTCCCCCTGGAAACTGGTTGGGTATATTGCTAGCAATGGGATTCTCAGTCTCCATTACTAACAATCCCTTTCCCCCCCAAAAAAAGACTATATTTAAACCAACCAATATATGCAATCTAGAATATATAACAAATATACATATATCATATGAATGTGTAGTAAACAAGCCGCTGTTGGGTTTCTATAAATATCTAGTCTTGTTATCCGTGTAATTTATATAGCAAATCCGGGGTGGTTTGCTAGTAGTTTTGTAAAAGTATTTGTTTGTTTATAACTTCTTATTGAGAGTGTCGAGGCCTAGTTTTCTCTTGACATATAAAGCGAAAACGTCATTACATAAGTTCGAAACTGTTTCACATCCAAAAACTTTGAGTATCAATTTAAACTTTCCATATTTGATGGAAATCCTCCTTTCCTTTGATGGAAAACACAGATATAACGAACCCAAATGAATTCGAATGGCGACTGTAAAAATATACGTAAGTCAATCAAGTTAAGTTTACAATTTCTGCAGTGTATCCGAATCGACATGACATCGTAACCTTAAAAAAAGAGCATATTTCTTTTTGAAAAGCTTGCAGCACACCTACAATGCCTCTGGTGCTACAGGTGCTTATGGGCGGCGGTAGTCACTTACCATAAGGTGGGCCACAAGATCGATTACACCCTGTGTTATAAAAAAAAATTATAGCTAATTTAATACCACCTTTATAGACATGAACAGCACCATGGGCATGGCATTTCTGATGCGTTGCCAATTCTGAAGTCTAAGATGTTACACCTACTCCATCGTGTAGTTTACTGTAAAATAATGTAGCATAATAAGATGTTCCATTTTTTTAAAGTTCCATAAAATATTTCGCCATATCTAATTGCTAAATAATATAATATATAACATAATACTACAAAGAATTGCATTCCTTGTAGTATTTGTTATTCATAACTTACTTTTTTTCTTATTCCATAAGGGCTTTTACCTTTTCCAGCTGTGACTGTCCTATTTTACCTTTTCAAACATTAAATATTACATTATAACATTAATTTATATACATAGCTTTTATCCGTGATTTTATACACATGACCGGGATATATTCACTGACTGAGATTAGCCTTTTTTATGCAACCTAGAATGACAAACAAGCTGACGACCCATCTGATGGAAAGTAGTAACCGTCGCCTATAGACATGAACAGTACCATGGATATAACAGAGTATGTTTCGTTCATGATACCCCCCATGCGTTGCCATTTCTGAGGACTCAGCTGTTATTCCTCTGTACCCTGTAAATTCACTGTCATATGCCACCTTTCAAACCGAAACACAGCCATGCAAACACGACTGCTTCATGGTAGAAACACGAATGGGACAGAGGTAAATGACTACTGTACAGTCTCCCCCTGGTACGAAGCCTATGCCCTTTTTCACTTCACATATTACACACATATCAAACATGATTAAAACAATACTTCTTGCATAATGTCAATACAAGTTGAATTGTCTCATTTTACTTAGCATTAATATAAACCTACGTTGTTTCTGAGTGCTAGTATATAACATACTTTCTCTTAATCTGTATTTTTGTAATAATAAATGAAAAAAAAAGTTATGTAAGGTAGGGCGTCAGCTTATTTGGCATTCTAAGTTGTATAAAAATAGCTACTTTTATCTTAGTAAGTTAATATAGCGCGTTACATTTACCACCGAAACAAACAAACTCCGTTTCACATTTATAATATTAGTAGGAATTTAGTAATATTCACAGCAATGGATTCACTGTGTCTGTGTGCCCATCTTAACCATACAACGAGAGACACCGACCTCGGTGTAACATTATCCATTCACGAAGCATTGTTTCGTTTGCATGCATGCATGCACTTCAATGCATATACATACTTAATTCAGTCACATCTCTTATTCATAGCATTTAGCAAGAATGATTACTGTTGTATGTTTTAGATTGTTTTAGATAGATAGTTTTTTTACAACTCTAGTTTTTATTTCTATTATTACTATAAGTAAGTACGAATTAAAATATTATTATTATTATTATACTATTATATTATTTCGTAAATACGTTTTATATTTTTTTCGTAGGTTATAGATACATATATAATTAGATACCTATCTAATATAATGTTCGCGCGCATTGCTAACCCTGAAGAAACCTAGTTTTAAGAGCCCCATGCTACTTACTGTTCATGTCTATAAGCGACGGTTACCACTTTCCATCAAGTGGCCGTTACTTGTTTATCATTGTAAGTTGTATAAAAAAATCAAATGGAGTAACGGAGTACCAAAATTTTTTTAAATTTATCATTCCATGTTTGTTAAATAAGAAATAAAAAAAGAACACATTTTCACGGGTAGAAATTATTCCAATTTCACCTGATCAAAATGAAGACGAGTATGAAAGATAATGCGTGTATATGTATATACATATAATATAGTTATATACCTAATGTTAGATAACATCCGATGTGACTCATAAAGAATATTTTATATATATCTTGACCAGGATAGACTGAAATAAATCTGCTATACTGCGCGCGTAATAAACTATTTATTATTATTATTATTTCCGCCATTAACTGCCCAATGCTGGACATAAGCCTTCCTCATAAGTTTTGCCAGTAGTTGCCACGCTTAGCAGACGGGTTGGCAACCGCAGTTAGGCTATCAGAGATGTTTTAGGAGGGACGCTGCTGCCCATCCCTCGCCCTCCCTTAGTCGCCTCTTACGACACCCACAGGAAAGGAAGGGGTAGTCCATTCCATGCCGAGGCACACATGGCGTGATAAATTATATTTATTAGTAAAAATTCGCTTTTCAAAATGAAGAACATTTTTTGATAAAAGTTACCATTGTAGCTAACAGGCGCCCATGGTTACTAATTTTGAGTCTTAATTATTGATTAAAATAATAAATTATTTAATTATACTTTGGTATATAAATGCTTGAAGATATTCTGTACCATTCTTTTTCGTTGCTAGCAATGTAATATAAACTGTCAGGTCGACTTTCATACAGTTCTTTCTGGAAAAAAACTCATGATTTATTCCTAAAGAATTCGTCACAATGGGCTAACTGATCTGAATTTATCTTCACTTGTCTTCCATTTTTGGTACCCTACTAGTGTATACCAAAAGCACAAAACATCTTCATCGTATTATCTTTTAACTGTCAACTGCTGGACATAAGCATTCCCATTGGGGTGTTTTGCCAGTAGATTTCACGTTTGGCAGGTGGGTTAGCAGACGCAGTTCGCCCATCCGTTACCCTCCCTTAGTCGCCTCTTACGACACCCACGGGAAAGAATGTGGTGACCTATCCTATATCGGGACCACACGGCACATAAAGGATTATTACTATTCAAATATTTTTAAGGAATGCTCTTAAAATGTATTGTTATGATGTTCAACACAATGTAATATTGTTTATGAATGGATAAATTGAATAATGTTTATGAAACTGCTCTCTCTGGAGAGAGAGTATTTTAAGCATTACTACAAGTTTAGCTACACAATTATACCAATCACCTTGCTCGCAACCTAGAATACCTTATGCTATTAATATTATGAACAAGGCTGCGAACTTCTGGGAGCACAACCTAGCGCGCCCGGGACTATTTACGAAAGTTCTCTTCCTAAACTGGCTCGCCTGAAAATCGAACCATTCTTTCTTATGCCAAACAATTCGCTCTTTCATTACGATACGGAATTAGTGCTATTCATTGGCCATTGCTAGCAGTAAAAGGTCTGTTCCTCTATTATATACGGTGCTGACTTGGAATTGTGTGTCTGTATGTCACAGGAGCCGCGCGGGGGCGTCACTAGACGAGCGGTTCACTGCTTCCGAGGACGCGGGTGGTGTCCGGCTGACCGTCTCCGCTGCCCGCACCGGCGACAGTGGCGTCTATACGCTGCAAGTGAGTATAAACATATTTGATACATATAATGGCAAACAAGTTGATGGCCTGAATATGAACTGAGACATGAACAGTCTCATTGCATCTTAGAATGTACTGCAGTGCCAGTGCATTATGCAGTGTATTATGTAATGTCCAAGGCATGAACCCAGTGGTTTATTCCCGAGGATTATGGCGTTATATCAGAGAGAGAGCATATCTCTCTCTTCAAACCGAAATATAGCCATGCCAACAGCTTTTCATCCTCTTCATAAACTCTCAAACCTTCTCCAAAATTTTCTATCAACTCCATCAACTGTCAACCTGTAAATCGTAAAACTCACCATGATAACTCATCGTCCATCAATCCGCATCAGAAAGGTCATCTTAAAAGTCATGCTCTCAGTACCCACTCAATGTTGAAGCCCAAATCCATCATCCATATTATAAGTCAACCAGCTGCAAACCTTGGCATACGCGAGTGTACACCAAAAGCGCAAACGCAAGTGCTTGGGAACTCAAATCCAATACATAGCACAAAAAAAAACAAGCCATGCCAACAATCACTTCACGGCAGAAACATGAGTGGGACAGAGCCAGTATACCCAGATAAGGACTGGCAGTGTATACCAGTGATGAATGATAGCCGAGAATAAAGTCAATTAATAATGTTTAATTTTCGACGTATTTGTCATGATAGGCTAACTAATTTGTTTACATCGTCACCTTGGGATGATAGGAGCCCCGCCAGCGTATATTGATAACGCAAATAACGTTTACCTTCAGGCAGACCGTATGGTTGTTTGCCATCAAAGTAAAAAGAATATCCTAACTTAACACATATAACACTTTGCCATGGGAAACAGGGACTCTTATTCTAAATGTGACATGTGTCGTATGTGCAGGCTAGCAATGCAGCTGGGAGCGACACGACCCGCGTTCGACTTGAGGTGTCCCCGGACGAGGCGGCGACTGGCGACGACCCGCCGACCTTCCTGCGGCGCCTCCAGGACCTCACCGTGAAGGTCGGCACCAGGACCAGGTTCCTGGTCGAGATTATCAGCTCTACAGAATGCAAGGTACTGTAATGTGGTTTACAGTAGATTTGTCATAACATCTGTTAAATATCCACTGCTGAATATAGGCCTTATACATAAGTAGAGATTTACTAGTACTTGCCACATTTGGCATGCGGGGTGGGCACCGCAGTTAGGCTTTAGTGGTCTTTAAGGAGGGCTGCTTATCCCTCGATTATTCAGTTTCGTTAGTTGCCTCTTACAGCACTCACCCACCGGGGGGAAAGGGATTGTTAGCAATGGAGTTTGACAGCCCCATTGCTAGCAATATGCGCCATTAAGTCGACCTCCACGTGGTTCCCCCTGGAAACTATCGTGAACAATTCTTATTGAATTCTTCGCGATGCGCTAACTGACCTGCTTCATCTTCACCTATCATCGGTCATTGGTGTCCCGTCAGCGTACACCAAGAGCGCAAGCGTGGTTTTTTTTTTTAATGAATGGTAATGGAATGGTAACCCCGCCTGCGCTAACGATATACGCTGGCGGGGCACCAGTGAGGAATGATAGGTGACGATGAAAAGGCAGATCAGTCAGCCCACTGTGACGAATTTAACAATAAATCAATCACGACGGTTTCCAGGGGGCACCACGAGGAGGTCGACCTGACGGGTATATTGTTTAACAATAAAGCTATTAATCCTCATTACTGACACTGCCTTCCCCCTCGCAGGCGGCGTTACCTTACCATTTTCATTCCATTAAAAATATCCTTTTATTTTCCTATTTATATATTATTGTATTTATATATTCATAATAACTGTATTATTTTATAATTCTCAAATATCACTACATAATATAAAACAAAGTCGCTTCCCGTCTGTCTGTCGCTATGTATGCTTAGATCTTTAAAACTACGCAACGGATTTTGATGCGGTTTTTTTAATAGAGAGAGTGATATATGTAAAATACATGCATAATATAGTAGAGAAACATTGATAAACTTATAGGTTTCTAATGCCGACCGGCGGCGTTATTTTGTATCGGCAGTGTACTCGCGCGAAGCCGGGGCGGGTCGCTAGTATTATCTAATTAAAAAGTTTTGTAATCCGATCTATACCATGCGCAGTGCGCAAACCTTGATTTATTCTCGCATTAGTAATAAAAAATCTTAGGCAATCGCCATTTGGTGCTGGCAGTTCGGTATAACGTAATAATATCCAGCGGAAGTAAACACAGTAGGTATATATTTTTTTAAAATAACTGAACCCATATCTCTATCTTTCACTTCCGATATAGTCCACGATAAACATTAATCAATCGTCAACAATCTTAATACGCGTAGATATTTTAAATTGAATAGAAAAAAATGTTATTGAATTTTTCTCTCAAGAAGTTCTTCCCGCCAACTTTAAATAGAATATTAATTAAAGTAGATAACATAACTAAACATAAATTTAAATTCTTACTAAAAATAGCAACACTATACGATTATGGTATTTATGGGGTGGCCGTAATTTCCTAGATTCCCCATATTGGATTCCACATTCGAATTCCCGGCGAAAGTGGAATAGACCTTGAGAATCGCAGGAATGCTTGCGTCCAAATCCCAATGACATAATTCTTCTATTTTAATCTCGAACATCCGCTGTAGTATTTATAATGTGTTTTTGAATGTACACACACAGATGCACGTGTTTGTATTGACACGCCGCGCGCGTGTACGCAAACAATAATGGCGCCTGTATTTATAAATGTCTTTGTGATGCGAATTGGTCAGAGTTTATTTAAAAACCAAGTTTGTTATCGAATTGTAATTATGTAATATTTCTTGATTGTCATAATTAATATATTTTTTTAACTCAGATTAAATTTCAAAGTAAAATTCTTTTTGATCTAGGACTATTTAAAATTCAATGCTCGAAGAAATTGACAGTCCGTAGGTAATTTTTTTTAAATTTTAAATGAATCAAAGATATGGCGGAGTTTTTGGAATCCCCAGACCATAGACAAGCGTTTCCTGAGCTACCTCTATTATATTTAGAAATATAATTGAAAAATAATGTTGTAATTTGCTGCTCTTGTTTATTCTGTGATTTATAAACAAGAATTATACAACAGAGCAGGTACACAGTACACACACGGATTGTGCTCAGAGGAATTGTTGAATATGATGCCTATGGCCACTTTCTACTATCGCACGGTTCACCATCGACGTTTATATTGCAGGCGTTCATAGGCTACGGTAACCGCTTACAATCAAGTGGTCCGTATGCTTGTTTACCACCTGTGGTATAAAAAACACTGAACTATGTGGTGGTAGGTTTTAAGTGTTGTTATTAATAAAGACAAAAATGTGTTGACTCCATACCCTGCAATTCTATTGCTATATCTCACTCGTCAAATAAAAACATTCATGAAACTATGAAGACAAGAGAGCTAATTTAGTTGGTACTTTTTATTTAATAATAACATTTATTTAATAAAAATATATTATTTACATAAATCAAAACTATTAGGTAAATATTTTGTTTAAGTCTATTCTTATTAGACACTATTTATGATTTACAAATGTGAAACACCATTATGTGATTGCCAAAACAAATGAATTATGTTAAATTTTCGTGTATACTTTAAATTCAGATCTACAGTATATAACTAACTATCAAGAAATATGCGATAAATTTGCCAGGAACATGTCGTTTTGTCATATTTGTTCTGGCCATGTCCTTGGCACCTAGTTGCAGTTTCATACACTTGTGTTTTGTTTCGAATTGCAACTGTTTTTGGAATAAACAACAATAGATCTATTCTATATATTACTATTATCTTGTATCTGCATATATTTTGGCTGTATAATTATTTTCTATAAAATAATTTACTATCAAATTATATTTTTTTTTTTATATTTTTTATTTTTTATGTCCACTCCAATATATAAAACATTCATGTCACGATGGTCATAAACGTTATTATACGACACTAATTTAATGAAATTTTATAGCTCAACCTTGTGAGATAAGTAGCAGTCATAATTTTTATCCCGATAGGAAAAAAATACGAAGACATGGACGGAAAGGGATAACATAACATTGGCCGTTTAAGCTAATTACAAAACGTATACGTGAAACGGAATAGATAATTCATTTTTCCCTCAATGCTTGGCTATCTGGCATTCAAAGTCTTGAAATCTTGTATGAATTTATACGCTTGATTTCGACAATAATTGTAATACTTCTTCTTCGTTTAATTGATACTGTGTACCTTTTACGGTCAACTCAGCTAAAGTGCTGGCCTGGCCATGCAGTTCTTTGCAATACAGAAGTAAATGCCTGTTACTCAGGTTTCAGCTCCTATCCATCCTAGAACGAGCCCTCTCTATGGTCAACTCAGTTGAGCTGACAGCTTTACCTATGCAATTCCTTAAAGGGTTATAATGTTACGCATGTTGCAGGTAACATGGTACCGCAACGAGCGCCGCCTTATGGAGGCGGAGCGAGTTGCGTTGGTTAGGGACGGGAGCTTATGGTGCGCTGACCTGGCTTCAGTCAGCGTTGACGACGCCGGCCGGTGGACTTGCACTGCCGAAAATGAGGGTGGGAGAGCTAGCTGCTCTGCCCATCTGAATGTTCTCGGTATGTAACACATGCATTGGTTTTAGGACCTAAAATATTTATTCTTACTAATATTAAATATTAAGGTATGTTTGTCTGTTTGTTATCTTTGTGGCTTAATTTGCCATGTAAAAGGCGAGTGAATGAAGTCGTAAAATTTTTTAGTTACTAAGAACCTAAGATATTGCGACAAATACAGATATATTAGTTATATCAAGTACCGAGGTTTAAACTGGGCACCAAGAATTAAAAGAAATGCTTTTTTCAATTCTTGGTGCTCGGTATATAATAGCGGACAACCCTGATGCCTTTTTCCCCTGTTTGTCATTTTGGGATTGGTAATCTTGTTGGCAATAGAGGGCGCCATTTTCTCATCGACTGGTATTAGGGGTGCATCATTTGAAATATTGTATAAGGCGCGGATTGGCAATTTTCATCAAAAAGACGAGGGTCGGAAAACGATAAAAAATTTTTGGGCTCTCACATTAACAGGGTATGTCCAACATTGCCGTATTAGGTTTATTGCTGGAGCTGCGTCTTTCAAAAGGCACATGGATACTATTAAATCTTTACTTTCACATGGCTAAAAACTCCGCTATGATGAGCACCGCACAAGAGCTTAGGGCCCTCTTTTAATCTCTAATGTTACTTAATCTCTTTTCCATTTTACAGTACCAAAAGCATACAAACGACCTGAGTTCGTAGAAGAGCTCAGAGCTCTGCTCACTGAACAGGGGACCGTGTCACTGGAGTGCAAGGTAGTAGGTGTCCCTACGCCGGTGCTGCGGTGGTTCAAGGTATGTATTTTTTATGGGATTAAATGAAATGGTGACTCCACTTGCACTATTGGTTTACGCTAAGTACTAGCAAGGGATGATATGTGAGGATATAGTCAGATCCGTTGTCTAGTTGATCAGAATTAGCCACGATTCCAAGAGGCATTGCGTGGAGGTCCCATTGCTAGTAATTTATCCTGTCAGGTGACACCACCAAATCCAATTATTAACAGCGTTGCAATCGAAAGAGTTTACTCTCCAATTAGCCTTCAAAAATGCTTACGTTTCAGCGGGCAATTTTTTTATTGCAGGATAGTCGGGAAATCAAGGCTGGCGATGTGTTCGCGCTTACAGCTAACGCCGAAGACCCCACGTCCCTCGGCACGTACACCTGTGAGGCAGTCAACTGCATGGGCAGAGCGTACTCCTCATCGAAAGTGCATGTCGTCGGCCGTGGCAGCCGGGAGGGATCCGCCAGACCTGGCTCCAGGTTTGATTTTAATATCACACCAGGAACTTAGGCTATATTGGTCATTAATTGGTCGTTTAATTAAAAAAAAAAGTGTCTTATCATGCTTATTTCGTATGCCCAGTCTCATTAAAGTCCATTATTGATTAAAATTGTGTGAGGATGTCAACCTTTGGAGTCAATACTGTCTATACGGCCTAAGTTGTACACGAAACCTCTTATCTGATCTTGCCTTGACGTATCCTCTGAAATACATGACAAACATACGACAATCATTTTTAAACATCTAAAGCTGAAGTTATTTTTTTATGATAGGGATGCTTAAGCCGTAGTTAAGCGTATTTAAACCAAGTGTGTGCCGCAGGGTCGTAGCTACACACATGTTTAAGGTAGGACAAAAGAATTTTATGGTAGGGCAGAAGTCATAAGTAAGTGACTTCGAAAAAGCGAATCTAGTTTTCTTCGGGCCTTTTATTGTAAGGTAGGGAAGTGTTACTCAATAACCCCCCCTTCCCCCCTTAGCTACGGCTATGGTGATGCAATTATGATCTATACACTTATATAACTTTATTTATAATGATATGAATACCTAGATATTAAACGAATTCTGCAATAGACATCAAGCTTTTTTCCATCGTAGCCTTTCTGAAGTTTACCCTTCCATATATGAACATAATAAATAATTCTCTAGTGGTATAACTCCCGAGCCGCCGCCGATCTTCACGAAAGAGCTGGAGGATCAGTTCGTGAAGATCAGCGAACACCTGAGCCTTAGTTGCCACATCGTGGTGCCACCATGGCCGAGAGCCGTGGTCTGGTATAACAAGGAGGGGAAAGTCGAACCCAACGAAAGGTAAATCCAAGCGTATTATATTTATACTGTATACATAAAATAGTTATGTCTCTTTTTTTATGAGCTCGAAATTGAGTTTGTTTCAAGATTACTGTGTATGTACAAATCGTATATTTATTTACCACTATGATGGCCTAGCATTCTGATCAAGTCGGTGATATAGGTGATAGTTACCACCTTACCACTTGAATTCTATCACTCTCCAGTTGGTGGGCCGATAGCTTCAATGCTATCTCAAATAGCATAAAATAAGTTACTGTTTCTACTTTCAAATACAGAAAAGAATATAATGATTTCCTTCAGATACCACGTGGTAGAGGATGGCGTTGGGGGATATCTATTAGAGGTGCAACCAGCGGAATGGTGCGACGAGGGCGAGTGGAAATGCGTCGCAACTAGCCAGGGCGGCAGGGTGGGAATATCCACGTGCTATGTAGCTATGGATGGTGAGAAACTTTCTATTCCGACTCGTCGTCACATCTACTTGTCAGCTATTGATACTCAAAAGATTAAATTAAATTTAAATCTATCTAGAATTGGAGAACAGATTATTATTAATGGGCTCCTTTTTATTAGCAATATATCCTATTAAGTCAACCTCTACCCGTGTAGAGGTTGACTTAATAGGATATATTGCCTTCCTTCCACCACAGACCCAACTGTTTTGCTTTCATTTTCATTTATTATCTCTGATAAGTGAACAGTAGACTTCACCAGCGTATACTGATAGTGCAGCTGAGATCAAAAAAATTGTCTTGAAATTGAATTAAAAGAAAGGACGTTATCATTGGATAAGGAATATATATACATATATGTAATGTGCTTCTATTTATTTTCTCAGTACCCAAGAACTACAGAAAGCCCCGATTTATGGAGAATCTACAAGCTGTACTTACTGAAGAAGGGCTCGTTTCGTTCGAGTGCAAAGTAGTTGGATTCCCTACCCCAGTGCTGAGCTGGTTCAAGGATGGCCAGGAACTGAAACCCGGGGATGTGTACCAACTAACAGGCACTAACTCCCTGGGATCGTACTGCTGTATTGCAAGGAACTGCATGGGCCAAGCGAGCAGCTCAGCCGAGTTGACCGTGGAAGATATACAAAATCAATTGAATGAAGAGGAAAAACTACAGTTGTTCTCAAAAAATCAAGCCCCTAAATTCATACAAGGCTTAAAAAGCGTTGAAGCAAAAATCGATGATCCATTCCGTTTCACTATTAAAGGCACGTATAATACTTACCGAGTACATTTTTTCCTTACCGGTATGACAGCTACGCTATCTTTGAAGTTAAAGCAGTCATTAAAATCGGTTGAGTAAGTTCGCAGATTAGCATCAATTAACAACGCGACGCCAGATTTCTAAATTAATATTTTTAGACAGACTTTATCAGAGGAAGATTAAAGATGTACTACATCTACTTTTATTTCATGCACGCTTCTTCCATATAAACACTTAACCGAAACACTGCAGTACAAACATACTGCTATTACTTTCGCTTTAAAGAGAATTACAACACATGAAAAGAACCATAGGTAACAGTACATGCACTTTATGAGGGTCATGGTTGTGTTCATGTCTTTAAGCGATGATTGGCACTTCTATTTATCTAGTTTATTTATCTAGTGGCCAGTTATTTTGTGTACCATTCCAAATTTTATCAAAAATAATAAGTTAGAATTATTTTTCAGTTGCCATTCCGCCTGAACCGTCACTACTGTGGTACCGTGATGAACAACCAGTTGAGGAGTCCATTCGATGCCATCTTGGTAAAGAGGAGAAAGGAGTATTCTTCTTGGATATACAAAATCTGGAATTTATTGACCAGGCTGAATGGAAGTGTGTTGCTAAAAATGATTTTGGACATAGTGTCACTTCTTGTTTCCTCAAATTGATTATACCACGACATTACAAAAAACCTCGATTCTTAGAGAATTTACAGGCTATTTTGTCTGACGAAGGAGCTGTTAATTTAGAATGCAAAGTTATTGGTGTACCACAGCCCATTCTCAAATGGTACAAAGATGGGGAGGAGTTAAAACCGGGTGATATCCATAGAATAATTTCGGGGCAAGATGGTACATGCTGTCTTGGGACATATACTTGTGAAGCGCAGAACTGTATGGGAATAGCAGCTAGCTCGGCCTCTCTACTCGGTTTTGACGATTCTATGAAAGCTAAAAGTAAGAAAAAGGCAGAAGAACAAGCTCTACAAAGAAATCTCTCGCTTAGTACAATACACGAAGAACGAACATCGCAAATGTATGATACGCCAGTTGGTGATATCACTCTGGATGATAAGGGTGAAATTTCCTTTTCATTTGACGGCAAAGAGGTTTCTGTCTCTTTATATGAAACTCCAGACCTAACAGAGGAAGAAGCTCTTCAGATAGTAGAAATGTATGCTGATCAATTATCTGAAAATGTAACTGAGCATAATGTTGTTGAACTGCCTCCTTTACGATTTGTTAAGGAAACTTCAACATCTGGAAACCTATTGATGGAAGCGATTATTATTGATGTTTCACCGGAATACTTTGCTTCTCCAGAAGAAGATTTACGAACCGAAGCTGACATAGAAGATATTTCAATTGCTGACGAAAATGGCCCCCCTCAACTTTCTCTTGACCAAGATATTGGAGGCGAATATTATTTAGAAAAAACAATGGCATTATTATCAGAAGAGAAATCTGATATAGCAAAGAAAATGCCAAGAAAGAAATCCGACTCGCCGAAGAGCGGCGATGATTATTTCAGTTTATCACGGGATCGTTCTTTATCTGAAGATAAAAAAGATGATGATACCCAAGTTTTATCTGAAAGTGACTTACAAAGTTTTGCAAGTGCTAGAAGTTCTGGAAAACTTAAATCAAAAATGTCTAAACCTTCTATCGAAGATGGGCAAGAGTCTTCTGATTTAACAAAAACTATATTACATAAAGATGAAGTAAAGAATCAAATGGAGCCTAGTGAACCACCCATTGTAAAACCAAAGCGTGAGCGTCGAAGTAGTCGTAGCTCTAGAAAATCCAGTTCAGGAAGTGAAAAATCACTTAGTAAACTCAAAGAAGAGCTTCCTCTAGTACAATCTGAAGTTGAACAACCTACTACACAACCATCGATGTCTGAAAAAGAATTTAAAACGAAAATGACTAATATAAGTACATGTCTTTCTAAAGTTTTAAATGATGTACAGATTATTGAACGAGATATAATTCTTAAATCTGAACTTATGTCGTCAGCAGCAACAGCGTCTCGCAGTCTAGAAATAATTAATAGTTTAATTACACCCTTAACTGAAATACATAGCATTGCTGATGCTGCTACCGAGTCAGTAGCTGAGTCAAAAGAAGTGAGCAGTACTTTATTCACTAATCTTACTCAGCCCTTAAAAACACTTCAACAGTCACTTATTATAATAGAGAAATGTATCGATGTAGAAAGTGACAGCAAGACGCTAGTTAAAAAAACATGTGTAGCGTTTATAGAAAAATGTAATGAAGGAATTTGTCACCTATTATCAGATATAATTTCTGTCACAAATAAGAATTATCTACAGATGGAAAAGAAAACATCGACTGAAATCGAAACTTTAGCTAACGAAATGTGTAACGTTGTGAAATTTTCAAGTGATACAATTAAAGCCAAAAACCTTATAAGCGAAGCAAACGATATAAAAATTGATGAACATTCACTAGAAATGAAACACTTAAAAGATACACAGAAAGCAGTGTTTGAATTAAAAAATCCACTAAATTCATTATTAAGTATTGTTCAAAATGCTGAGAATGATCAGTTAGTTGATGTGTCAAAAGTAAATAATAGTGAGGTCATATTAGTCAACATGTCAGCTTCTATTCAGGATTTACAAACTGCTTTAGAACAAATAGAGTCCTTATCAGTGAAAGAAACATCTACTTCCTTGAGTAAATATAATACAGATATAATTGAAACTGTTATGCAACCTGTATTAAAATTAAGGAATTCTTTTGAAGAATTATCTAGTGAAACTAAAAATGAAGAAGGCATAAATGTATCAAAACAGACATTGAAAGCAATAAAACAAAATTTAAATGAGTTATCTTCGCATATTAAGCGAATTGAATCTAATGTGGGCCCATTTGATATTCTACAAAGTGACAATAAGTTAGAAATTCTTCAAAAAATGGCTCAAATTCTAATTGCATTAGAAAATAATTTACCTAGATTAGAAACGGTGCCAGAAATTAAAAGCAATATGATAACATTTCATAAGAATTTAACCAAAGTTCTAGAGAATGTTATTGAGAGTAATGACGCAAAAAGATATTTTACATTAATGGAAATTTGCGATGCTGTTAATAGAATTAATAATTCTATAAAAAATATAGACTCCGATAACATACTTTCGCTTGCTAGTCTAGGTAGTACATTAAAAATAATTCAAGACCAATTTATAAAAAATATTTTTGAATCTGAATTAAATTGTTCTATCCTTAGTAACATTACCGATGTACTTATTGGAATACAGGAAGCTGTAAACCATGCTGAAGAAGTCAGTTTGCAAGTAGATCATGAACATATACAAGATTTATCTGCGAGAATATATGATACTAATAAAGCCAACATTATCGTAGAACATATGGATCATGTAATTGCTGCAATAAGTACAATGAAGTTGATGGAATCTACAAAAGATCTTCACTCTACAATTATGCCAGCATTACATAACATATCTCCAGTTTTAGAGGATCTCAAACGAAATATAGCATCTTTAAAATCAACTGATATACACGAAGAAGAACATTTATCAGATCTTTCTGATGTTTCATTTAGTCAAACTATTGCTACTCCGCTTTGTGAACTAAATCAAAGTATAATGTTGCTTAATCAGGTAATTGTTGAAAATTTAGAAAGTTTGAAAGAAAATACTAATGTTGCAGCTACAATGGCAGCTCCTCTTCATGAATTATATTCAACATTACAAATTTTACAACAGGATGTAATTTCACAATACGATAGCGACCTAACTTCTTACGACGTAAATCTTAATATAGCGAATGCTGTTCAAAATCTTCAAAGTTGCATAATAATGGTCCAGGAAAATACTGGCGTAGAAGTAATTGATGAAATGTCAACTTTAGAAGATATTTCTGGTATAAAAACCACTGCAGATACAATTCCGTCTGATCGTTTAATATTGCCTGCTGCTGAAGAAACCGCCGTTCAACAATCACTTCTACCATTAAATCAAGAATTAACAAGTACTGTTACCGCTCAAGCTTTACAGACATTGAATGAACATATTACTGTACTTCAAAATCCCGAAGTAATTGATGCTTTGGATACTCTCTCAGAAGTCAGTGATTATTCTAGCCTTAAATCTTTGGCATTAGAATTGGGTGAATTGCACGCTGGTATAGAACAGATCTTGCACCCTATTGTCGTTGAAAATTCAAACGATATAGTTAATCTCACCGATGCAACAAAATTATCGGCAATAGCTGAACCTATGCAAGATCTTCAACAGTGCTTATCTGTATTAAGTACAAGTGACATTCCAATTTACGAACATATTTTAGAGTTACCGACGGAAAAAGTACATTCCGTATTTAAAAACATAGCTGACTTTAAGGAAAATTTAGCAAAATGTATGATAACTATATTCCCAGCTATGGAAACTGCAGATAAAACAATAGAAATTTCTAATAAAGTGGAATCGCTAAGAAATGTATGTGAACATCTCAGAGAAGTAATTACGATAACAAAATTGAATTCAACTCCTGTCGCCATGAATCAAGAAGTCATCATTTTAGAACATCTTATTAACAAACTTCTCGATGCCACTGATGTAACTAAAGGTATTAAAATAGATCAAGTGAAAGAAATAACTGAAGAATTATTTGATAAGATAGTTACTGTTGAAGAGGAATTAATTCAATTTATACCCCAATCAGCAGAAAAATTGGCACAGGAAGCTCAGCTTATACAAACAATCAATGAAATTGAAAGTAATATTGCCGTGTTGGAACAATATGATTTTGTTGACTTATCTCGTACTTCTGATATAACTTCATGTACTTCTCCTCAATTAGCAATAGAATTAGAAGCGGAATCACTACTTCAAATAGATGACATGATGGAAAACGTAGTAAATATTATACACGATTCAGTTCAAGAAACGAGTGTGGCAGATTTAATAATATTAGAAAGCTTCTTTAAGACATGTAAAGATAAATTTATTATATTACGATGTTTAATAACGAAACAATTAACTTATAAAAAAATTATAAGGCTTGTTCAAGAATTTAAATCTCTGCAAAATACAATTGACGATTTCAAAACAAAAAGACCTACTCTTAGATTATCCATTGACGTAAATGATCACTTGACAACCTTTCTAACTCATGCTGACCAAAGTGTTGAATGTGTTAGAAATTCTTTGATTAAAATTTTATCTTCACAATCAGAATTACTGTTTAAAAGACCTATTACTAAATTAGAAACAGCCAACAAAGTATTAAAACAAGCAATAAATATTAGAAAATCAGAGCATACTGATGAAGTAATAACAAAATTCATAGATATTATTGAAATAATACAGCCTGTGATACAAAGAGCAGAAACAAATATTATAAGGGAATTACAAACGAACACTGAAGCAGCAATAAATGACGAAAAGACAATCACTAAAAAACTGGGTGAAATATCTACATTAGTTGAAAATCATGTCTCTTCCGAGTCATTAGATAAGGAAACAAAGAAATTACTAGAAAATGTATTACTGTGTATTCAAGGACATAAAGACTATGAACATGCAACTGGAACAGGCAAAATTTTGATTATTATGAAATGTCTTTCTGAATGTGCAGATATCTTGCAAGGCAGTGTTTTGGAAACAGAAGTATCAGAATTAAAATTAACAGAACAGATACAACAGGAACATAATTTAAAAATAATCATCAATGAAATGATGGAGCCCTTACAAGAACTTCATAGTCAGTTAATAAATATTCAAGAGCGAGTACTATCTGGTGCTGACGAAGAGTCAATATCACTTGACCTAACTTCTACCGAATCTCTTGCGCATACTGTAAATGATATTCATAAAGAAATTGTTAAGAAAATGGAATCTGTTGAAACATCTAACGTAGGTAGTGAAGACATTTCAATTATAATGGAAGTTGACAAAGAACTTCATATGATTCAAGAAAGTATAAAGTCGATAGAAAATGTTCAGGGTACTCAAATAATTGAAGAAATATCTAAACCAATAAAAGACTTAGAAAACTCACTACATAATATACTTTCATCAAATAAAGGCAGTATTGAACATAAGGATATAATACCCAAAGGTAAGATAAAAAATATTTATAAATTCTTGTTTTATTTTATTAAAGTTAACAAAGAGTAATTTTTATCTATATTTATATTTACATTTCTTCTATTATTTATATTTTTACGGGTTTTTTACCAAATTATACTTGAGAAATTGTTATTATTGTAGATGTCAATTCCAATATAGATTCACTGGAAAATGCCCTTGAAAGATTCGTACATATAGAATTTCAATTGTTGACTGCTTTGGGATTATTTGGTGAAATTGAGGTTAATAAAAGTGTACAATTGGCGACCGAACTTAAATATTTATTGTCACTTCCTGAAGAACTAAAAACTGCTAATGTAATAGAAATGAAAACTGTTAAGGTCTCATCGTTAAAGACAATCTTATCAAAATTCAATTGGTTGGATACAGAAAAACATTTACAGGGAAAAGAACCATTAGACGCAGAAAAATTAAAATATATTTGTTTAACAACTTATCAACTTTTAGTTGAATTAGATAAAATTGATAATAGTTTAAACATTAATAATGTACCATTAATTAGCCAAACACACGATGATATAAAAGAAGGTAAAATAAATTATAACGATAACATATTTTAGAAATTAGCTTCGTCATTATTTTTTGTTTTCCATTTCAACACGCTTTGTAAAATGGCAGATTAGATCACTAATTACTTATTTACATTGATCTCATGTATGTATGTTCTGCTGTTTAAATGAAAACAATATAAAAAAATTGTCATAAAGCTTTTGAAATTTATATCAATAAGATATTAATATTATATATTTCATCATTTTTAAAAATTAAAGCCATAAAATTATTGTATTTAATATTTTCAGAAAAAATCCCAGAATTAATGCATCATATTGATCAATATATAGAGATGATTGAAATCGTTGAAGAAATATCTGCTATTATAAGAATAGAAGAACTTAAAGAATCAGTAAATGTTGCACGTGAATTACGTGAGAATATTACTGGGTTTGAGAATATTATTGAAGAAGATCTTAGTGAAAATGTGAGAAATGAAGTATATACAACTCAAGCTAATCTTATAAATCAACTGCAAAAAGCTCTTTTAGCTGTACAAGTTCAAATTTTTGATTGTGAACAGGAATTGGCTCCAGAAATTGATAAAAATGCTTTGCAGCGGATAGCAAGAGTTACTGCTCAATTACAAAGTGACTTGACAGCTGTTACAGGAGTTCAAGTAGCTATTCAAGCACCTCATGAACCATTACACGATATTGCAGAATCCTTAAAACTTTCAGAAAAACAAGTCGACTCTACTGAACCTACATCTTTCGAAGTAACCAATGTCGCTGAAATTTCGAAGCCTATTATTTTGGAACAAGTCGATATTTTAAATGATCAATCTAGACCATTAGATCAAGTTGATGTAGTGACTGAAGCCCTTGAAAAAGAAGCAGTAGTATCAAAAAAAGAAGTTATTGTGGAAGAATCAAAATCACTAAAAGAAAAAGTAATAGATGAAAGGATATCAACAAATGAAACGGAGGTTACAAAAGATACGGAAATAATTGTGGAATATTCTAAAGTCACAGATTTTATTGGTAATTTTTATATTTAATAAATATCTGTTACTATATATACAATGTGAATTATATTATGGCAAAAGGTTTAAAGACTGAAAATACTGAAGTATATCCAATCTTTGGAGCAATAGTATCTAAAGTAAATATTCATTAGGAACGATTATCATAAAATTTTGTAAGAAGATGAGATAACAGCTTTATATGAGCGAAGATAAACTGTGGCTTAAATTTAATAAAAGTATATACAATGAAATCTGACTAATCTTACTTCCTACTAATATTATAAAAATGAAAGTTTGTAAAGATGTTTGGATATGTGTTTGTTATTCAATCACATTTAAATGGTGGTACGGATTTAAAAGACATTTGGTACAAAGTAGAATATAACTCATATTCTAACTTGATAGATAAGATACTTGATATATGGAAATAGTAAATATAAGTAATAAATTGAATATTTTCGGAAACAATAAAAATATTTCATTCTTATATTTGAATGTTTTCCAAATATTTGGATATACTGACAGTTATTTAATGTTTTACCACTGTTTTCATATTAATTTCATCACATTTCTTATTAACTGCCTATTTATTTAAAATAATGATACCTATGCATAATTCATACAAAACTTAGCATCATTTTTGTCTGTATTTCATTATTCTTTGAAGTTGTAAATTTTTTTTAAATCGTATTATTCGGAGGAGAACTTACATCACTAGTTTTACGCATACACCAATTCACTTCGCATATTTATGTAAGTTGCTTTGTTCATTATTTTTTAAGTAGTAATTATAATTTATAATTAGAATATTTTTTCAGATGATTTTAAATTGCATATTGAGCAATTTATGTCTCTGGATATAGTGAAAGTAGGAAACGCTTTATCTAAAGGAATAAAAATCGAAGAATTGGAACATTCACTGGAAATAGCCAAAGAATTACAACATAATATCGCTGAATTCAATGCCATAGAAATGACTGATAGTAACATAGAGTCAAATAAAACAAAAATCCAGCAATTAAATTTAGCTAAAGAATTACATTTGATACTTCAAGTTATCCAAAAACAAGGTCTTGAAATATTGAAAGATCTTCCTTCCACTATTGATTGCAATTATCTACGTATGATAATTCAAGTTGTTGAGAGTCTTAACAAGGACCTTGTTACTGTGTTAAATAAAACAGATACAAAATTAGCAACAGATAATGTTGACAATATTACTCAACCTACTGAAATTTCTTTAACAGAAAGTTTGCCAGTTGTTTCCACAGAGACTACTTTAGAACAGTTTTCAGCAGTTAAAGATGAAAATATAATGTTGCAACAAAGTACAAGATCTGGGAAAGAATCAGAAAAAATTGCGATGGAAACAGGTGAAGTTGTCTCTGAAGAATCAATATTACCCTTAAAAGATCCTAAATATGAAAGTGTTGAATTATCAGCATTAGATCAAGCTGAAAATTTGGAACAAACTCCTGTTACAACATATGATAGTATTGTAGTCGAAGATACACAAACCGTAGATGCCGTATCTTTAGTAAGTGCGGCCAATGACGTAGCACCAAAAGTTATTGATGAAGAGGAGAAAAGTAAAAAAGACACCGACTCTATACAACCGGGAATGAAGAATGAACACATACAGGACACAATTCAAGAAATTCCAAGCAAAATTTCAGGTAAAGATATTTTTTATTAATAATATGTGTGTACATTTGAAATTATTGAGATATGCTACGAAAACACATACATGATCTTAAAATGAGTTTTAATTGCTATTTTTTAAATACACTTTTCTCAATAAAACATAGTTTAATCATAATAATATTATAGCGGTATCTTTATCTTTATTTTATGCTAGTATATCTAATAATTATTAATAATGACTGTGGAGAAAATTCACGTGCTTATAATTTCAGAATCACTTTTACACTACATTCAAGTTTACATATCAGAAGATATATCGGAAGTACTTAATGAAATCTGTTCTGTTATAAATACAAACAATCTAAAGCGATCGGTTAATATTGCAAAAGATTTGTATTTAAATATTTGTCAATCATCACTTTATTTACAAACTGAAGAAAATGTAATACCGTTGGAAATAATGAGTATGCAAGCTGCTTTAGCTCAACAGCTACTAAATGCGACGTCTTCTTTTCAAATTGAAGCTTTAGAAAAAATCAAAAATGTATCTCCGCCTATAGATAATTCCTTAGTCAAAATTACTAATATAATTGAACATTTAAATACTGAACTTGAGGCATTTGTCTCAACTAATCTATTATATCAAACAATACAACAATCATCATATAAAACAGAAGAAGATGTAACTGAAAAAGTAGGCTCCAAATTAACTGAAACGATGATTTCAAAAACACTAGAAGCTGAAAGTGATATTAATGGATCTGAAAAAATTACTAGTACGTTTGCTATATCCACTGAAATATCGGAAGAAAGTAAAGCACTTAATGAATCAAATAACGAAATTCAAACGAACTCTGAACATGAAACACATGACAACACTTTATTGGAACAAAATGAGGCATGTGTTCTTGAAATTATTAGTGATAAAAATATATCTTTTAACAATGCTATAGCATCTGAAACGGTATTAATGAATACAGCCTTACAGTTTGCACCAGGCGAAAATATAAGTATAGGTATGACGTTATATTTTATAAAATATTTTGTAATATTTAAATCACTCTTAGTCTAAATTTACTTTATTTTAACTATTTGCAGAATCGTTATTACAAAATCTTGATACTTATATGTCAGACGATATTTCACAAATAATAAATGAAATAGCTACAATCGTTAATAATGATGAATTGAAACAACCCCTTCAAATAGCAAAAGAATTACGTGAACTTCTAGCTTTAACTCAATTAGATTCTGATTTGACTAATCAAAAAGAATTTAATCTAGAAACAGCAAAATGTATCGAACAGTTGCAAAATTATTTATATATAATACAAACATATGCGGATGAAACCACAGACATTTTACAACCAGCTATAAATAAAAGTGAATTGCAAAGAGTTACAGAAGTGACTGAAAAATTAATCAAAGACCTTTCTTTTTTTGTCACTACTACTATAGTAGGTGTACAAATAGCGCCAGTAAATAATAATAGTAATCACGAGATAGATATGTGTATAGAAAGAGCGGAAAGTGTTAAAGTAACTGATGGTATCAAAGAGATTGAAAGAACTAAAGAAATAAACAAACATTCTGAAAAAGTTTTGCCGGACGAATCTGTGGAAAATGTTATTGTTCTAGAATGTACTATTATTGGACTTAATTTGCCTGAAGTAGAGGAAACTACTAATATCACTGTTGAAGAGATTTCAAACATAGATAAATCTCTAGAAAGCCCTGAATTTATTAAGGAAAAAGATAATTATGAGATCAAAGAAGTTTCTTCAACGGAAGTAATTGCAACTACAAGTGATGCTTTAATTTTGGCTATCACTAATGAAGTAATGCCGAATTACTCTACAGCTGAAATAGTTTACCCATACAACATTTCAAAATCCTCACTTGGTAAAGATTTAAAAATATTTTTAGTTTTTTTTCAATATTTTATTTCATTAGATAATTGAAAGTATCATCAGCACTTTCAATTATAATTTGTCTTTATTCTAATATCGTTACACTAATGAAAAAATAAATTAGTAGTCCACCTTTCAGTAATTTGCCATTTTAATGACAGTTTGCAATATTTTATTTATATATATATATATATATAAAATTAATAATTATATTTTCAGAGTCATTATTAAATAATGTGACAGACTTTTTATCAGTTAATGTTGCTGAAATAGTTAGTGAATTATGTAACATCACAAAAATACAAGAGTTAAAATATTCAATAAATACAGCAACATCTTTACGAGATAAATTATTGGAGCCAGAAAAGAGCTCTGTTATATTACAAGAAAATACACATCTTATACACGAATTACACAATGCCATTTCTATTATGCAAGTACATTTGATTGACCATACCGAAGAATTACAATTGAAATTTGAAAAAGATAAATTGCAGAATATGATAGAAGTATCTTCTAATTTATATTCTAATCTTGCCGTTATAGTTTCTTCTATACAACAGACCAAGGATATTGTTAAGCATGTAGAAGAGACCGTGGAATTAAATGTAAAAGCCCCTGTAACAGCTTCTATTAATGTTATTGAAGAAAATCCTTGTTTGCAATATGCAGATGCAACTGAAATCAAAATTATTTCTTCTGGAAATTATGATGTATCTACTATAGCAGACGTTATAAGTGAAGAAAGTGATTTAATAATAAACAAAAAAGATACTGAGCTACTGATAGGGAATGATCAAGAGAAAAATACTTTATTAGAATTGGAAAAAGTTGTTACAAATGACGATGTAAATAAATTTGATATCATTCAAAATAAACAATTTGATGATCAGACAAATAAATCAATTAAGAATGACAACACCAAAATGGAAATTAACAGAGAAAACAGTAATGTAATAGTTGAAGAACTTCAGGAAAGTTTTGATTTAAACGACGACATTAAGTCAACGTTGACACAAGAAATTGCTGTTACAGTTATTCCTAAACTTGAAGAATATGCTGTGGGACCATTTCAGTTAATGGGTAATTATAAAAGTAGCAAAAACGTCTCCAATTTTAATATAATTAATTTATTCGTGGTAACTTGAAAATATATATTATACAATCAGCTTAAATAAAATAATAATGATTGTTTAATATGTAATTCTAAATTTAGGCTTACATTGAAGTGTTAAAATATTATATATTTCTTAGAAATAGGTTTACAAATAAAATAAAGTTGCAAATTTTCAGATATTCTCTTGGAACATATCGAGAATTGCTTATCTAATAAGGCAGTGGAATTAGTTAATACAATATCATTGATTACTGATTCAGAATTATCAAATTCATTTGTGAATATTTCTAAAGAATTATATCAACATATACTTGAAATAAAAACTGAAGAAAGCCAAATCGATATAGAGAATAAAGCATATGGAGAAATTGTCGACATTGCTTCAAAATTTCAAAACGTGTTAACTGTCATTCACGTTAATTTTGTAACTTATTTACAACAGCTTACTGATCAGTCAGTTAGCAATGACAAAATACAAAACGTAATTGATATAGTAAATATATTACAGGAAGATATATCTTCTATAATCAATGCGCCTTTAATGGTCCAACAAACTGGCGACCTATATGTCACAATTACTGATTCTAATTTGCTCAAAACTACTGATGTTGTACCAATATCTATTAACCTTAGTGATAGTGTAGAAAAAAGTTCTTTGTACAGTGATACTGATTCTATCTTTGAACAAACTCTTGCAATTGCTACTGAAATAGTAAATAATGTTATAGTAGAATCCGAAGATATAGCATTTAAAAAGTATGGCGAACATATATTAAAAATTCTTGAGTTGGAGAATCAAGAACCTGATATTGAACAGTTGTCTGCATTAGAATGTTCTCAAAATATGATATTCGAACAAATTGATAATGCAGTAGTTACATCAGATTCATGCAAAGTAAACATTGCAGTTATTGAAGATGTAGACAATGAAATAATCCTTAATAATATGGAAGACGTAAAAATAAATATTATCAGTACTGCGTCTAATATACAATCAGTAGATACTACTTTGGAAGAGAACAAACAGACTACAGTATCTTTGGAAAAAGAAAATGTATGTCCGCTGAACACAGAAAACGCCAGCATAAACGAAAACGATGGTGGAAGTGCTATACAAAAGAATTACGGTAATCCCATTATGTTTGTATATCGTTGTACCATGATAATGGTGTCAATCTAACGGCTTTCTAACATTAAAATTCAAATGTTTGAACATCAGAATTAGAGAATGTATTAATTATGTTCTAAAAACGCTATCATCGTTACAAATATCGAATTTGCTGTTAATAAAAAAATCAAGCACTCAAGAAGTAGAATATTAATCATAATAATTCTTCACTATTAATTCGTAAACAATAATTAACTCTCTTATGTTAGCACATCGCTGCAAATAATATTTATCACTGCACATTCATCATCATATCCGCCGTTAACTGTTCACTACTGAACATAGGCCTGCCCCATAAAGGGGGGGTTTTGTCAGTAGTTGCCATGCTTGGCGGGCAGGTTGGCAACCGCAGTTAGGCTTTGGTGATGCTTTAAGAGGAGCGCTGCTGTCCATCCCTCGATAATTAAGGGCTCATTCTATGCCGGGACCACACAGCATAGAACTGTACATCACTGTGTATTATTAACACGCAATTGATACACAATATAAATATCGGCCTATTAAAAAGCGTAGGCGCATTTAAGGGTTTGAGCCATACTCGCCACAGAATTGTCTCTAGATGCGAGCGAAGCTTTTAGCTGCGCCCAAGACGTGTCTGAGAAAATACCATAAATTTAAATACGCCAATGAAGAATAACTTAATTTTTTATGAAATAATAATATTTAAAATAAAATTAATATAATAAATAAATTTGTTTCCTTTGTGTTCCTGACGTTATACATATATTTTTTTTATAATTATGATCAATCTTTACGCAGTATCCTATCTTCACTGTGAAATCCATTTGTTATTTTTTCCACAGATTATTTCGTTATAACAACAGCAGTAAAAAAATTTTTTTAGGGATTATTGATCAGTTTTTTATGTTAATATACATAAGTACTACTATGTACATATACAGAATACTAGTACATACTATATTTTAGTATTTTATTAAATCCATTCATATAATATATTTTATAAAAAGAAAATAACATTAATTCTTTGTCAGTATTAGTTGAAATCATATTATTACGTTACTACAAACTTACAGTTATTACATATACATATTTATTATATAATACACTTGATACATACGTGATACTTAATGCCAAGAATATTAAACTAAGTATAAACAGTTATACATCAAGTATTTCATAGCATAAAATTTTCAATTAAATATATAAATATTTAAAATTTTGAGCATCCTGATATGTAGATACGAATCAAGAAAAGTAATAAATATTGAGAGGTAATTAGGCAGTCTTCAATTAGAAATATTGTATGGAGAATCGAGAGTGTATTATACTAGAAGGAAGTTCAAAATAAGGCTTCAATATACTCGTTGGACTAGAAAGTCTCTCGAGAGCTAAGTTCTATTTGCTAATTCCAGCAAATAGAACTTTCTTGGTTGACTAAACATTTTAAGTGTCTTTTTAACATTTCTTAGTTAAACAGAAATATGTAATATATAAAAATAAATATATTTTACATAACCATAAGCTATAAAACTGACACGATTTCAATATCATTTCATGCACGTAACACTATACTAATCTAGGAATACTTATACTTGCCACAAACAAAACTTGTCATGATGTACTTGATATATTTCATTATAGCTATAGAATTGATTAAATTTACATAATTTCCTTTCTTGTTAATGTAATTTCAGAAGCAGACAACCTCTTGCATAGTATTGATAATTTTGTATCTAATGAGGTAGCTGAAGTGGTTGAAGAGCTATCAGAACTTCTTAATATGAAGCAATTAAAGGAATCTGTAGGTATAGCGAAAGAGTTTCGTGAATGTATTGAAACTATTGGAGATGATAAAGAAATCACTTTAATATCGGAAAGCAAACGTGCAGAACAGACAAAACTTAAACAAAAACTGGTAGAAGCTCTGATTGTTTTCCAAGAACAAATATTGGAAGCAGCCCCAGAAGTTAAACAAACTATTAATTCAGAGCATTACAAGCAAGCTACGGATGTTATTGAACATTTGCAGGATAGTCTTAACAAGACAGTAATTCCTTCTTTACAGACAATTGTTATTGAAGACCGTAAGTATACACGATAATAGTATTACTCCATAAACTCAATACTCAATTAATTTGTTCACTGTTTCATGACAAACTGAACTAAAAGATGAAGATAAAATACGTTATACTTCATTATTTATTCAAAACAAAAAAGACTTTCCTAGTAAATACATCAAAAGACATTGTAAGAAATTAGTATTACCAACAATAAAGACATTCTTATATAGTTCAAATTGTTATTCTATGGCAGTCAGAATATACACTATAATAAACTACCAACAAATCTTAAAATTTAAATTAATAAATTAAAAAAGAATTGGATAAATAGCTAATAAATAAATGTTACTATAGTATCCAAGAATATACATAAATATAAAATAGTGATAGATTATAAAAGATTGACTTTTCTGTATTACAATTAACGTTTAAAAATTTACATTATTACACATTAAATAATTATTTTGTCATAACTTTTTTTATGACTATTTCATGTCAGTAATGACAAAATGTGTGAAACCATTTTAATATTACCACATCACCTTATTGTACAACATTTTCAGCAATAAAATTAATTAATTCATTCATTATGTTTTTTCATAATTATTTTGATTTATTTATGTGCTTTCAGAACTAAGTAATCTTTTGCAAAGTATCGATACTTTTGTATCCAAAAACGTAGCTGAAGTAATTGAGGAGATATCGGAACTGACTCATACAAAACAATTAAGTGAATCTGTTGGCATAGCCAAAGAGCTTCGAGATAATATTGAAACTATTGAAAAGGAAAAAGATTCGAATTTATTACCTGAAAGCAAATATGCAGAACAAACAGAGCTCAAACAAAAACTGCAAGAAGCTCTGACAGTATTCCAAGACCAAATATTAGAAGCAGCGCCAAAATTGAAAGAAACGATTAATTCGGAACATTATAAGCAAGCTACGGATGCTATTGTACATTTACAGGAGAATCTTAACAAAGCAGTAATTCCTTCTCAAACGATTGTTATCGAGGATCGTAAGTATACGTGATATTTATTCATACTTTACTATTGCAACCCTTTTTTATTGACTATATAGGGTATAATAAGAGAGGAATAGAATTAGTGGACTATTTTATATATTTTGTAATAATTTTTATTTATTTGTATGTTTCCAGAAGTCGGCGATCTCTTGCATAATATTGATACTTTTGTATCTAAAGAAGTAGCTGAAGTGGTTGAAAAATTATCAGAACTAACTCATATTGAGCAACTGAAGGAATCTGTGGATATAGCGAAAGAGCTTCGTGATGTTGTTGAAATCGTTGGAGATGGAAAAGATACACACTTAATATCGGAAAGCAAATATGCAGAACAAACTGAGCTTAAACATAAACTGCAAGAGGCTCTGACAGTTTTACAAGAACAAATTTTAGAAGCAGCACCAGAACTTAAAGAAAAGATTAGTACAGAAAATTATGAACAAGCTACAGATGTTATTGTACATTTACAGGAAAATCTTAACAAAGCAGTAATTCCTGCTCCACAAACAATTATTATAGAAGACCGTAAGTATATATCATAATATTTATTCATAAATTTACTACTAATTATTCACTACCTGATTTCAAATTAAATCAAAAGATATTGATAAACGTGCCATACTTGATTATGTTTCTCATAATTATTCTAATTTATTTACGTGCTTTCAGAACTAGGTAATCTTTTGCAAAGTATTGATACTTTTGTGTCTAAAGAAGTAGCTGAAGTAGTTGATAAGCTATCGGAATTGACTCATACACAGCAATTAAAGGAATCTGTTGGCATAGCCAAAGAGCTTCGAGATAACATTGAAACTATTGAAAAGAAAAAAGATTCGAATTCATTACCTGAAAGCAAATATGCAGAACAAACAGAGCTCAAACAAAAACTGCAAGAAGCTCTGACAGTTTTCCAAGAACAAATATTAGAAGCAGCGCCAAAATTGAAAGAAACGATTAATTCGGAACATTATAAGCAAGCTACGGATGCTATTGTACATTTACAGGAGAATCTTAACAAAGCAGTAATTCCTTCTCAAACGATTGTTATCGAGGATCGTAAGTATACATGATATTTATTCATACTTTACTATTGCAACCCTTTTTTATTGACTATATAGGGTATAATAAGATGAGGTAGGATTATCAGATCATGAGACTGCACAATCGCTTACGATTGACGTAATAAATAAAGTTGAAATGCCTAAATTCTGGTATTATAAGAAAAGGGACATATACAAACTTAGCCAGTTTGTATATTTTTTCTGTGGCTTGACTTTAATTTTTATTATGGGAAAACATAAGTAGTAAAACATTTTGAAAGTATCATAGAAATTTTCAAATGCAATTTCCATGTCGGTTTCTTCATAGACATTTGTCCACGATAGACTAAGTAGGCACTCGATAAATTTGGAAATGTTTTCTGGACTGTAATCCCTTTTCTTATAATACACAAGAGGTTTGAAAAATTCTGTAATTACTAAAAGAAAATTACGCTTTACATATTATAAAAACGCAAACAATAATACAAAAATGAAATATCAGAAATATTCAAAACTTCTGAAACGATGTATTAACCATGCTCAAAAATTAACTAATATGAAATATATTGAAAAATCTAATAATGTATGTAAAACTACATGGGACATAATAAAAAATAGGATGGAAAAAAATCCTGCTAGTAATAATATTGACAAACTTATAATCAATGATGACATAATTGAAAATCCCACTGACATTGCAAACGCATTTAATAACTATTATATTGACATGATAAATTCGGACACAACTAACAATGATGACATTACAAATATGCAATCAAACCATGTTAGTATGTTTTTATGCCCTATAGATGAGTCTGAAGTTATTAAAATCATTCAATCTCTGAAATCCACGAAATCGACCGGTTGCGATGAAATTCAGATAATGATATTAAAGGCATGTAGGAGAGATTTCACCAGTGTTGAGCTATTTAATTAACCTTTCATTTAGTACGGGAATTTTCCCAGAAGCCTTAAAAATTTCTATTGTACGACCGCTACCAAAAAAATGAAATATCCATGAAGTAGGGAATCACAGGCCAATATCTCTCTTACCGAATTTGTCAAAAATATTTGAGAGAATAATGTTTAATCAATTGCTGAAATTTCTGGATAAATATAAATTGATCAAATCGGAACAAAATGGGTTTCAAAAAGGTAAATCAACAACATCAGCAGCCTTTTCTCTCATGGACAACATTTTGTCTTGTTTGGACAAACGAATCTAAGTCACAGCGGTCTTTTTTGATATGAGTAAGGCCTTTGACTCAGTGTCCCACAAAAAATTAGACCATAAATGCCACATGTATGGAATAAGAGGTTTGGTCAATAAATGGATAAACAGTTATCTATCCAATAGAAAACAATATGTAGAAATATCAAAACGTGACTCAAGCATGGAAATTAGCAGGTACAAATCATCCATAAAAGTCAACAAAAATGGCGTACCACAAGGTAGTATTCTAGAACCCTTGTTATTCCTGCTTTACATTAACGATTTGCCCCATGTTACACAGTATAACTGTACACTGTTTGCTGATGACGTGTCCGTTGTGATACCATGCAATGATACTGAAACATATAATAATGAAATAAATGGAACAATAAGTAAAATAATAAAATAGCTAAAGAGTAATAACTTAAACATTAACTATAATAAAACTACATATATTCAATTTATTAATAAAAACGGGACAAAACAACCACTGAATGTAACTTTTGCAGGCAATATAATTAAAGAAAGTTCACAAACAACTTTTTTAGGTGTCTCATTGGATGATAAATGTTCCTGGGCTGATCATGTTCATAAACTATGCAATATAGTAAATTCTTTCGCGTATGCTCTCTGGCGACTAAGAAGGATTAGCAATAAAGAAACAGCTTTACAGGCATACCATGGTTATGTCAGCTCTATTTTGAGATATGCTATACTTCTATGGGGTAACTCGTATTATGCAAGCCGTGCCCTTATATCACAGAAACAATGCATCAGGGCGATCTGTAACGTTGACTCACGTACATCTTGTCGATCATTATTCAAGGAGCTAAATATACTTACTGTCCCATGTAAATATATATATGAGGTATGCATATTCGCAAGAACACATTTACATTTATTTAAAAAGAAAAGTGATCTCTGTAATTTTAACACAAGAAATCCTCAAAACTTAGCACTACCTTATAAAACTACAACTTTGTATAGCAGAAATGCCTACTGTATGACAATAAGCATTTATAATAAATTAACGGACGAAATAAAAACATTACCCTTAAATATATTTAAAAAAAATCTAAAAAGATGGCTGGTAAAAAAATGTTTTTACTCGGTTAATGAATATTTTGAATATTTTAAATCTTAAATATGTGACTCAATTAATGTAATTTGTAATTTGTAAAATGATTGTAATTTGTAACCTGTATAATTTATTATTAATACGTAAATATATTGACATTTATTTAATATGACGATTTAAGTAAAATAGTATTACCATAGTATAGTGGAACAATTAAATAAATTTTGTATGCCAGATTCTGGTGAAAAATGTGATCAATATTTAAATATTATATTCCATCTTTTATACCATTTTTCAAACAAAATAAAGTTATTTGTATTTGTTTATTTGTTTGTTTGTAATAAGAGAGGAATAGAATTAGTGGACTATTTTATATTTTTTGTAATAATTTTTATTTATTTGTATGTTTCCAGAAGTCGGCGATCTCTTGCATAATATTGATACTTTTGTATCTAAAGAAGTAGCTGAAGTGGTTGAAAAATTATCAGAACTTACTCATATTGAACAACTGAATCAATCTGTAGATATAGCGAAAGAGCTTCGTGATGTTGTTGAAATCGTTGGAGATGGAAAAGATACACACTTGATATCGGAAAGCAAATATGCAGAACAAACTGAGCTTAAACATAAACTGCAAGAGGCTCTGACAGTTTTACAAGAACAAATTTCAGAAGCAGCACCAGAACTTAAAGAAAAGATTAGTACAGAAAATTATGAACAAGCTACAGATGTTATTGTACATTTACAGGAAAATCTTAACAAAGCAGTAATTCCTGCTCCACAAACAATTATTATAGAAGACCGTAAGTATATATTATAATATTTATTCATAAATTTACTACTAATTAATTATTCACTACCTGATTTCAAATTAAATCAAAAGATATTGATAAACGTGCCATACTTGATTATGTTTCTCATAATTATTCTAATTTATTTACGTGCTTTCAGAACTAGGTAATCTTTTGCAAAGTATTGATACTTTTGTATCTAAAGAAGTAGCTGAAGTAGTTGATGAGCTATCGGAATTGACTCATATACAGCAATTAAAGGAATCTGTTGGCATAGCCAAAGAGCTTCGAGATAACATTGAAACTATTGAAAAGAAAAAAGATTCGAATTCATTACCTGAAAGCAAATATGCAGAACAAACAGAGCTCAAACAAAAACTGCAAGAAGCTCTGACAGTTTTCCAAGAACAAATATTAGAAGCAGCGCCAAAATTGAAAGAAACGATTAATTCGGAACATTATAAGCAAGCTACCGATGCTATTGTACATTTACAGGAGAATCTTAACAAAGCAGTCATTCCTTCTCAAACGATTGTTATCGAGGATCGTAAGTATACGTGATATTTATTCATACTTTACTATTGCAACCCTTTTTTATTGACTATATAGGGTATAATAAGAGAGAAATAGAATTAGTGGACTATTTTATATTTTTTGTAATAATTTGTATTTATTTGTATGTTTCCAGAAGTCGGCGATCTCTTGCATAATATTGATACTTTTGTATCTAAAGAAGTAGCTGAAGTGGTTGAAAAATTATCAGAACTTACTCATATTGAACAACTGAAGGAATCTGTAGATATAGCGAAAGAACTTCGTGATGTTGTTGAAATCGTTGGAGATGGAAAAGATACACACTTAATATCGGAAAGCAAATATGCAGAACAAACTGAGCTTAAACATAAACTGCAAGAGGCTCTGACAGTTTTACAAGAACAAATTTTAGAAGCAGCACCAGAACTTAAAGAAAAGATTAGTACAGAAAATTATGAACAAGCTACAGATGTTATTGTACATTTACAGGAAAATCTTAACAAAGCAGTAATTCCTGCTTCACAAACAATTATTATAGAAGACCGTAAGTATATATCATAATATTTATTCATAAATTTACTACTAAGATTCACTACCTGATTTCAAATTAAATCAAAAGATATTGATAAACGTGCCATACTTGATTATGTTTCTCATAATTATTCTAATTTATTTACGTGCTTTCAGAACTAGGTAATCTTTTGCAAAGTATTGATACTTTTGTATCTAAAGAAGTAGCTGAAGTAGTTGATGAGCTATCGGAATTGACTCATACACAGCAATTAAAGGAATCTGTTGGCATAGCCAAAGAGCTTCGAGATAACATTGAAACTATTGAAAAGAAAAAAGATTCGAATTTATTACCTGAAAGCAAATATGCAGAACAAACAGAGCTCAAACAAAAACTGCAAGAAGCTCTGACAGTATTCCAAGAACAAATATTAGAAGCAGCGCCAAAATTGAAAGAAACGATTAATTCGGAACATTATAAGCAAGCTACGGATGCTATTGTACATTTACAGGAGAATCTTAACAAAGCAGTAATTCCTTCTCAAACGATTGTTATCGAGGATCGTAAGTATACATGATATTTATTTATACTTTACTATTGCAACCCTTTTTTATTGACTATATAGGGTATAATAAGAGAGGAATAGAATTAGTGGACTATTTTATATTTTTTGTAATAATTTTTATTTATTTGTATGTTTCCAGAAGTCGGCGATCTCTTGCATAATATTAATGCTTTTGTATCTAAAGAAGTAGCTAAAGTGGTTGAAAAATTATCAGAACTTACTCATATTGAACAACTGAAGGAATCTGTAGATATAGCGAAAGAACTTCGTGATGTTGTTGAAATCGTTGGAGATGGAAAAGATACACACTTAATATCGGAAAGCAAATATGCAGAACAAACTGAGCTTAAACATAAACTGCAAGAGGCTCTGACAGTTTTACAAGAACAAATTTTAGAAGCAGCACCAGAACTTAAAGAAAAGATTAGTACAGAAAATTATGAACAAGCTACAGATGTTATTATACATTTACAAGAAAATCTTAACGAAGCAGTAATTCCTGCTCCACAGACTATAGTTATCGAAGACCGTAAGTATATACGACATTTTTACTATTGTTTCATTTATTTACTATAGAAAGCAAGCATTATAAAGTGATAATAAAGAATAATAAAATGTTTTTCAAATTTCAGAACTAAGTAATCTTTTGCAAAGTATTGATACTTTTGTGTCTAAAGAAGTAGCTGAAGTGGTTGAGAAATTATCGGAATTGACTCATACACAGCAATTAAGGGAATCTGTTGGTATAGCGAAAGAACTTCGAGATAATATTGAAACTATTGAAAAGAAAAAAGATTCGAATTTATTACCTGAAAGCAAATATGCAGAACAAACAGAGCTCAAACAAAAACTGCAAGAGGCTCTGACAGTTTTCCAAGAACAAATATTAGACGTAGCACCAGAATTGAAAGAAACGGTTAATTTAGAGCATTATAAGCAAGCTACGGATGCTATTGTACATTTACAAGAAAATCTTAACAAAGCAGTGATTCCTTCTCCACAAACAATTATTGTAGAAGACCGTAAGTATATATATATATTTTTATATTACTTAGAATAAATAGCAAACAAACTGATGGAAAGTGGTAACCGTCGCCTATAGACAAGAGCACCATAGACATAACAGAGTATATTGTTTCGCCCATGATACCCCCTATGCGTTGCCATTCCTGAGGTTTCAGATGTTATTCCTCTGTACCTTGTATATTTACGCCATATCTCAGCCTTCAAACCGAAACACAGCCATGCAAACACAACTGCTTTATGGTTGAAACACGAATGGAACAGAGGTACCTAAGCAAACGAATTTTGTACAAAGTCTCCCTAAATTATATATATATATATATATATATATATATATATATATATATATATATATATATATATATATATATAATAACGTAATCATTCATATTACCTAAAATAGCGATAACTACTCGTAAAACCTTATGGGAGAGACCTATGTTCAACAGTGGATAGTTAACGGTTGATATATTAATAATAATCCATGTGGTGTTAAATCTATTCCCAAAGAGGGTTGACGTTAGAGGCAGGCGGCTGGTCGTAAAACTATAAGCCAAATCCTTTAGTAAAATGGACAAAATATATATAAATAATAAATACATATTACGCCGACCCCGAATAATAATTGGGATAAGGGTAGGCAGATGATGATGATAATGTAGTGTTAAGTCCGCCATTTACACTTTTTAGGTGTATTAAAGTATAATAAATAAATATTATCATGGTTTCAGAAAAAGGTGAACTTTTGCATACTATTGATACTTTTATATCTAATGAAGTAGCTGAAGTAGTTGAACAGCTATCAGAACTCATTCATATGAAGCAGTTAAAGGAATCTGTAGGTATAGCGAAAGAGTTTCGTGAATGTATTGAAACTGTTGAAGAAACAAAAGATACAAGTTCAATATCGGAAAATAAGTATGCAAAACAAGCAGAGCTTAAACAAAAACTGCAAGAGGCTCTCACTGTTTTCCAAGAACAAATATTAGAAGCAGCACCAGAACTTGAAGAAACTATTAATTCAGATTATTACAAGCAAGCTACGGATGTAATTGCACATCTACAGGAAAATCTTAAAAAGGCGGTAATTCCTTCTCTTCAGAAAGTTGTTATTCATGACCGTAAGTATTTGGAGCATAGTCTGGTACTTTTACTTTAAAGTGATTTGATCTTAAATTCTAACAAAGAATTATTCTTTGAATAAATAATCTTTTAATATGCAATTATAATCAAATTATTTACTTTTTACAGAACTAATACAAGATACTCTTGAAGTAAATTCAATGAAAAAACTACAGGAGCTTTTACAAGAAGTTAGTAATAAAATTAATTTGACTACACCTGATAAAAGTACTGAAGATACAGAGACTTTACGTGACACTCTGGACGAAGTACAAACTGTCATTATAAAATTAAAACGAGATTTCGATGGAACCACCAATGACACTCTCAATGAAACTCTTGGCGATTTAGAGTGCAGTGTGAGGAGTGTTCAACTTCAAATTAATGAAGATAGCCCACCACAGTTATTGAAAGAAGCTTGCGCTACATTACAGTTATTGGTCAAAAGTATGAAAGAAACTCATGAAGTACATGTACCTGAAATTATAAGCAAAGACGTGACAGATCGAAATATTCTTGACAAATGCTCAAAGGAAACAGAAGAAACTGTTAAGTTGCTAGATACTGCATGCAAAATAGATACAAAACAAAATCGGAATTTAATTGATATTGTAACTAATTTAAATAGTCTTAAAGATGCCATGAAAACTTTACGTGAAAGTTTCCTCTGTGATGCTGAGACTTTGATTGAAAATGGTATTAATGTCATTCAGAATTTAGATCAAATGGAAGAAAAAGTTTTTACACTAGAAAAGAAAATAGAAATGGAAAAAAATCTCTCACCATCCAACAGGGATATTGTTATAACTGCGGCACATTCTGTTTACGGTACCATATCTAACATGCGTAGTACAATATCAAGTATTCAAAAACAGTTCATGTGTGAGAATTATGGTAAACCAGCAGAAAACATACTTCGTTCCATAAAAATGGTCACTTCTATATATAAAGAAACCGACGAAACGACTAAACCTAAATGGAAACGATTCTCTAAATCTTTACGTAATGTTTTAAATCATTTTGAAGATATAAAGTTTTACATAAACCTCGATAAAACTGCTAGACTACCAAGTGATGCGGCATTCACTAAAATCATTCTTGAAGAATTAAAATCCAACATTGAAGAAGTTTTATCTATGATATCTAATCTTGAAGTAACTGAAAAATTACAGGATTCATTACAGTATGTAGAGACATGTCTTTTAAAAATCGAACCTCGTTCGTCTCTAGAAGTAAAAGAGAAAATTCCAATTTTTAAAGAAGTAGCATCAAAACTTTTAAATATATCAGTCGCCCTAACAGCCAATAAAGCAACATTGGATATCAAAGATGAATCCTTAAAATTAGATCAGGAATTGGAAAAAGATTCTAATATAATTGAAGATATTAAGATTCCTGTTATTACAGAAAATTTTGCTATTGAAACTGATTTGGTAAATATAAATGAAAGTACTCCTGACACAAGCATAAAATCTGAGGATAAAATAAAATCTGTTACTATTGGTTTGGAAGGAAATGTTGCTGAAGAAAAAGTAGTTGTTATTGAAGAAAACATATACCCGCCAAAAGAACTTTCTTCTCCTTCAACTAGTATACAAACCGAAGAAATTATACTACCCTTAGAAAAAATACAGGAAGATACATTTAGTAACCAAGAACCGTTACAGGAAGGAATTGTAATTCATACTAAAGAGACAGATGATATAAATGAAAACATAAGATGTGAATATGATCTTGAAACTAAAAATGAAACAGATCTAATTCAACAAAGAACATCTAATGAAACGGGTCAAATAAAGAATAAAGATGTTATAAGTTCAGAAGAAAGACTTCATACAGTTAATATCAATGAAGAAGGAACACAAATTGAAAAAGCTGAAATATCTACGATATCTGAGAAAAAAGATCATTTAGAACAGGAAACTGAAGAAAATGTACAGTTAGAACATGAAGATGAAGATAAACAAATATTATTAGAAAGAAAAGATGAGAAACAAAATTCGAGCACATCATTAGAAAAATACCAAACTGCTGCTGGCTGTTCGAATGAGCAAATGTATACCAATGATAATGAACAATTAAAGATACAAAAAAATAATCAACAAACAGAAGATGAAATGAGAACACAAGAAGTAATGTCTGAAAATAAAGAAGAAAAAGAGCATCTCGAATTAAATGAAATATCAGGGAAAAATAAACAAAAAATAGAAATGACAGAAATAGATAACAAAAAAGAAAAAGAAGCAAAATCAGAATCTGGGCAAACAGAAAATGAAATTAAAAAAGAAATTAGTGAGGAGGGAGAAAAACTGAAAATAGAAACGAAACAGGTAGAAGAAACTCGTGTAGCAAAAGAAGAGGAACAAGCAAATAAAAAAAGAACACAAGAATTAGAAGAAACTCAAATTCAAAAACAAGAGGAGGATCGAGAAAAATTAGAAATGGAATCAAAACAACATGAGGAAGCCCATCTAGCAAAAGAAGAGGAAGTCCCTGATAAGAAAGAAAAAGAAAAACAAGAAGAAGAAGCTCGAATTCAAAAAGAAAAGGAGGATCGTGAAAAGCTGGAAAAGGAAACCAAACAACGAGAAGAGGCTCGTATAGCAAAAGAAAAGGAAGAAGCAGATAAGAGAGAAAAAGAAAAACAAGGAGAAGAAGCTCGAATTCAGAAAGAAAAGGAGGACCGTGAAAAGCTGGAAAAGGAAACAAAACAGCAAGAAGAAGCTCGTATAGCAAAAGAAAAGGAAGAAGCAGATAAGAGAGAAAAAGAAAAACAAGAAGAAGAAGCTCGAATTCAGAAAGAAAAGGAGGACCGTGACAAGCTGGAAAAGGAAACTAAACAGCGAGAAGAAGCTCGTATAGCAAAAGAAAAGGAAGAAGCAGATAAGAGAGAAAAAGAAAAACAAGAAGAAGAAGCTCGAATTCAAAAAGAAAAGGAGGACCGAGAAAAACTAGAAAAAGAAACAAAACAGCGAGAGGAAGCTCGTTTAGCAAAAGAAAAGGAAGAAGCTGATAAGAGAGAAAAAGAAAAACAAGAAGAAGAAGCTCGGATTCAGAAAGAAAAGGAGGACCGTGAAAAAGTAGAAAAGGAAACAAAACAGCGAGAAGAAGCCCGTTTAGCAAAAGAAAAGGAAGAAGCAGATAAGAGAGAAAAAGGAAAACAAGAAGAAGAAGCTCGAATTCAGAAAGAAAAGGAGGACCGTGAAAAGCTGGAAAAGGAAACTAAACAGCGAGATGAGGCTCGTATAGCAAAAGAAAAGGAAGAAGCAGATAAGAAAGAAATAGAAAAACAAGAAGAAGAAGCTCGAATTCAGAAAGAAAAGGAGGACCGAGAAAAACTAGAAAACGAAACAAAGCAGCGAGAAGAGGCACGTCTAGTTAAAGAAAAGGAAGAAGCAGATAAGAGAGAAAAAGAAAAACAAGAAGAAGCTCGAATTCAAAAAGAAAATGAGGACCGAGAAAAACTAAAAAAAGAAACAAAACAGCGAGAAGAAGCTCGTTTAGCAAAAGAAAAGGAAGAAGCAGATAAGAGAGAAAAAGAAAAACAAGAAGAAGAAGCTCGAATTCAAAAAGAAAAGGAGGACCGAGAAAAACTAAAAAAAGAAACAAAACAGCGAGAAGAAGCTCGTTTAGCAAAAGAAAAGGAAGAAGCAGATAAGAGAGAAAAAGAAAAACAAGAAGAAGAAGCTCGAATTCAAAAAGAAAAGGAGGACCGAGAAAAACTAGAAAAGGAAACAAAACAGCGAGAAGAGGCACGTCTAGTTAAAGAAAAGGAAGAAGCTGATAAGAAAAGAAAAGAAAAACAAGAAGAAGAAGCTCGAATTCAAAAAGAAAAGGAGGATCGTGAAAAGCTGGAAAAGGAAACCAAACAACGAGAAGAGGCTCGTATAGCAAAAGAAAAGGAAGAAGCAGATAAGAGAGAAAAAGAAAAACAAGAAGAAGAAGCTCGAATTCAAAAAGAAAAGGAAGACCGTGAAAAGCTGGAAAAGGAAAATAAACAGCGAGAAGAAGCTCGTATAGCAAAAGAAAAGGAAGAAGCAGATAAGAGAGGAAAAGAAAAACAAGAAGAAGAAGCTCGAATTCAGAAAGAAAAGGAGGACCGTGAAAAGCTGGAAAAGGAAACTAAACAGCGAGAAGAAGCTCGTATAGCAAAAGAAAAGGAAGAGGCAGATAAGAGAGAAAAAGAAAAACAAGAAGAAGCTCGAATTCAAAAAGAAAAGGAGGACCGAGAAAAACTAGAAAAAGAAACAAAACAGCGAGAGGAAGCACGTTTAGCAAAAGAAAAGGAAGAAGCAGATAAGAGAGAAAAAGAAAAACAAGAAGAAGAAGCTCGAATTCAAAAAGAAAAGGAGGACCGAGAAAAACTAGAAAAAGAAACAAAACAGCAAGAGGAAGCTCGTTTAGCAAAAGAAAAGGAAGAAGCAGATAAGAGAGAAAAAGAAAAACAAGAAGAAGAAGCTCGAATTCAAAAAGAAAAGGAGGACCGAGAAAAACTAGAAAAAGAAACTAAACAGCGAGAGGAAGCTCGTTTAGCAAAAGAAAAGGAAGAAGCTGATAAGAGAGAAAGAGAAAAACAAGAAGAAGAAGCTCGAATTCAGAAAGAAAAGGAGGACCGTGAAAAGCTGGAAAAGGAAACTAAAGAGCGAGAAGAGGCTCGTATAGCAAAAGAAAACGCAGAAGCAGATAAGAGAGAAAAAGAAAAACAACAAGAAGAAGCTCGAATTAAAAAAGAAAAGGAGGACCGTGAAAAGCTGGAAAAGGAAACTAAACAGCGAGAAGAAGCTCGTATAGCAAAAGAAAAGGAAGAGGCAGATAAGAGAGAAAAAGAAAAACAAGAAGAAAAAGCTCGAATTCAAAAAGAGAAGGAGGACCGAGAAAAACTGGAAAAAGAAACAAAACAGAGAGAGGAAGCTCGTTTAGCAAAAGAAAAGGAAGAAGCAGATAAGAGAGAAAAAGAAAAACAAGAAGAAGAAGCTCGGATTCAGAAAGAAAAAGAGGACCGTGAAAAGCTGGAAAAGGAAACTAAACAGCGAGAAGAGGCTCGTATAGCAAAAGAAAAGGAAGAAGCAGATAAGAGAGAAAAAGAAAAACAAGAAGAAGAAGCTCGAATTCAAAAAGAAAAGGAGGACCGTGAAAAGCTGGATAAGAAAACTAAACAGCGAGAAAAAGCTCGTATAGCAAAAGAAAAGGAAGAAGGAGATAAGAAGAACAAAGAGAAACAAGAAGAAGCTCGAAATCAAAAAGAAAAGGAAGATCGTGAAAACTTGGAAAAGGAAACTAAACAGCGAGAAGAAGCTCGTATAGCAAAAGAAAAGGAAGAAGCAGATAAGAGAGAAACAGAAAAACAAGAAGAAGAAGCTCGAATTCAAAAAGAAAAGGAGGACCGTGAAAAGCTGGAAAAGGAAACTAAACAGCGAGAAGAAGAGGATTCTGACAGGCTCAGAGATAAAAAAATAGCAAAGAAGAAATCAAAGAATGATGCAGAGAATAAATTAGAAACTGGTAAAAATGAATCTAATTTGCGCCAAGAAATGAAATCTCAATTGGAAGAAAGTAATTATGAAAGAAAAAGAGAAGATATAGATTACAGTGAAAAATATAAAACGGAAAACAAAATCAATGAAATTGATAAAGTTAACGAAGAAAAACAAAAGATAAGAATTAAACGTCAAAAAGAAGAACAACAGGAAAAAGAAGAAAGATTTAGCAAAAGTTCTGTTAATAATAAAGTGGAAGGAATGGAAATGGGACCAATAAAGAAACTGGATAATGAAGAACTTGTGAATAATTTGGGCCTATCACAAACAAATGATATTAAAGAATACCAACATGAGCTTTCAGCAGCTCGAAGCAAACAAGAAAATAGAGAAAGGTCTAAGTTTATTGATCATAGTCACAGAGATTATACTATGGACTTTGCTCGTCCTTCTATATATAGGGAGAAAACATACGAAATGCACAAATTAAGTACAGATTCGTATAATCTCAGCCGTGGTACTGGAATATATAAAGCGGAAACGTTAAAACTTGATGCACAAATTCGATCATCCTTACCACCACATCTTGATATGAGCAGAAATAGTGAACCAGTAGAGCGGCGAGAAATCAGGCATAAATCGAAAGCTTTAAGCGAAGCTAGAAGTATATTGTCAGAAAAACGGGCAAGTGTACCTCGGGACATTAAAAGAAAACCTATATTTTCTACTCATTTAACAGACAGAACCGCTGTTGAAGGGTCGCGAGTGAAGTTAACTTGCAGTGTCTTATCTTTAACAGACCCATCCATCACTTGGTACAGAAATGGAGTATTATTGGATAATAAATTGAAATACAAAACCAGAGTTGTAGATGGTCTTATAACTTTGGAAGTTCTTAACGCTATACCGAGTGATTCCGCAGAGTATAGCTGTACTGTAGAAAATGAAAACGGTTCAGTTAGTACTTCTGCTAACCTTAAAGTTTATCCGAGTTTCAAAGCATCGCCTATTCCTCCTACTTTCACACGTTCCATAAGAGGTTAGTACTTATTTACAACAAATAGGCTTGGATTTAATTGGAAAAATAATTTTACTTAATTATTAAAGGCGTATATTCATAATTTTTCTTTTTACAGATAATTACCATTTGGCTGAAAATGAATTAGTATTGGAATGCCGAATACGTGGTCAACCTCTTCCAACTATAACATGGTTAAAGGACGAGAAACCAATTGTTACTAGTGAGAGATTTCAGGCCTATTATCTTGCTGATGGTGTTTGTAGATTAGCAATAGATTCTCCAACGCCAGAGGATAGTGGAAAGTACACTTGCAAAGCTGAAAATTCTGTATGGTCTGATCAAATAAGCCATGTAGTAAACTTTACTGGTATGGGATAATATTCTATATCATTTGAATTTTCTCTATGATAACATTGCTTTTTATTATTAATAACTGATATTATATTTCAGGTAAAGAAAGTCGACTTAGTCCTAATTTAACAACAACTGAACGATCACGTTTCAATCGTCAAGCTATGGAGTCTCGAAGACCTCACTTCACTAATGTTTTATCAGATTTTAAAGTAGCTAGAGGAGGTACAATTGGTTTACAAGTAGAAATTAAAGGGTCACCTACTAAAGTCGAGTGGTTACGTGAAGGTCATTCAGTTATGGATATGTACCGAAATGCGCGAACATTCGTTGAACAGGGGCTGTACACGTTGGCTCTCTCAGATGTTACAGAGAAAGAATCAGGATTATATACGTGTAGAGCATGGAGTAGTCATGGAACTGTAGATATGAATGCAGCGATTACTGTGGTGCAACCTAATGAACTAGAGGGAAAACCTGCTATGATTGTTGGTCGTCCAGAGAAAGATGTGCTCATTTCGGTTGGAGAAGATTTGAATATCTCGTTTAGAGTGCAAGGCGAACCAAAACCTAAAGGTAAGAAAGATCATTATACAATAATTAAAACGACGGAAAGTTCTTTTAGTGTGGTTTCTATATAGACATAAATAATGTATGGCGACCTCTACTCTATAAAACGACCATGTAATATTGCAAGTCACTTTCATTAATGTTATAGGAAATTTCTTTTTCAATCCTAATTTATTGGTTTTCCATACAGTTATCTTCATGAAGGGTATACGAGATATCACAAATAGTCAACGTGTATGCAAAATGACGTCTGATGACTACGTTAAATTTACCTTGAAGAGATCAGTAATTGCCGATGCTGGCACTTATTGCATTTTAGCAAGAAATGCCTACGGTTGCGACAGGGCCTTTGTCACTGTTGTGGTGAGGAGTAATGAATTATTATTATTAAATCATACTGAAAAAATTTTAAATTTCCAAACTAAAATTTATAAAAACATGCATGAAATTGCATTTGTAATGATTACAATATTTTATTACAGTTATGTTACTTAGCCAGTTTCATTAAGGTTTTGTTTTGTTTCTATATTTATACTTTATAAAAATAAAGTATACACTTTAATTTTTAGATAAGACAGCGAGCTTCGTCTGATAATCTTATATCAGATTGGACATATCCATTAGACGATTCAGTGTTATCAATGGCTGAACGAAACTATAAACGTAAGTATATCTTTGTACATAGCTTTAAATTAAAATTGGTTAGTGGCTTTCAATTACTATATGAAGTCAATTGGCACTCGATATCACCTGGCACTTCATCAACTATTATTAAGGTCAATGTTGCATTGATAGTGACTGTCCTATTTTTTTAGCTGTACCTGACCGGATCCCGGGCGAACCAAGTGTCGTGGACGGTGGGAATAATTGGATCTCCCTGGCTTGGCCCAAACCAGACCCACGCGATTCCGCACCTGTATTAGCTTACAAAGTAGAGTGCTGGCTATCTGGTAAAGAAGGTGGCGCGAGGTGGTCGGAACTAGGCATAACTCCGCTCAATTCGTTTGACGCATTTAACCTCAAACAAGGAGAAGAGTATCACTTCCGAGTAACTCCTAGAAACAGGCACGGTTGGGGAGAATCAGTGCAAACATCTACCCCAATTGGAGTTGGGCTAGGGGGCGACCGACCGGAATTTATTGATATACTTCCCGGTCAACTGAAAGTGTTACTTGGGTCCACCGCAAACTTGACTTGCAGCGTCAAGGGGAAACCGGTTCCAGAAGTCGTGTGGATGAAGAACGGGCATGAAATAGATGAAGAAGAAAGACGGATGAAGACATCATTCAACGGATACAATTGTAACCTAACTATCAACGATATTCACATTGATGATGAGGCGAGATACAGCTGCGAAGCGACCAATGTTCACGGACGAGCCTCCACGTACGCACGCCTGGCTGTCGTCACAGATAAACTTATATGGGAGGCTGATGTTAAGCTTAAGAGGTAAGGGATATTAATAATTTTATTATGTTTATATATATTTGTATCTATATAATAGTGCGCCACCTACCCTTTGTCTTTTTTCTCAATGTCCTCTGCCCAAACGTTGTCTAGAAGAGATTATTAGTAGTGATAAGACCGCCTTTTGTATCATTTATTATTAAGAATTACTATATTTATTGTTTTTTTAAATAGTGCAATAAAGTGTAAATAAATAAATAAATATATTTATTCATGACTAGCCACCCGCCCCGGCTTCGCACGGGCGATATATAGAAACAAAGTAGAGTGTAGAGTGATTAATATAATTACTGTTGTATTTATCTAAATAGCTTTCCAAACACCACATAATTTGTATAAACTATTTTAACCATTAAAATTGGTCACAGAAAACAATCTGTACAATATAATTGCTAACTTTTTTATAGTCCTAATAAAGAAAAACAATTCAATCATACATTCAGCCTTTAGGTTTTACCAGTAGTTGCCACGCTTGACAGGCGGAATGGCAATAATATTGACGATAACCGCATAAACATCCGTTGCGTAGTTTAAAAGATAGCGGGCAGCGACTTTGTTTTATACCATATAGTTTATTTGTTTTATACCATATACTAACTGTACATACAATATATACGCAGAGAAAGGTCAGCAGACGTGGACGGCGTTTATCCGCCTCAGTTCACGATGCGGCTACGCGACAGACGCGTGCAGGCGACGTACCCAGTCCGCCTGACGTGCCAGGTGGTTGGCTGCCCCGCGCCCACTGTCACATGGTTCAAGGACGGCGAGGAGATCACCCCTGGCAGTGAGTGTAGAATGCAAAATAAAAATTAGATTAATTTACAAGTAAATATTACATATACATATATATTATTAATTTATTTGTAATTTAATCTCGGGCTGCTCACGTAATCCTGGAATGTGAGGCTGTGGCCCATCAACATTTAGAAATCCTCGGAACGGTGAGGCTAAGCGCGAAAAACAGTCTTTCTCACATTCACATTCAATCTCGGGATGATAACTTAGTATCTAGTACAATATATACGAATTGTCTAATTCCATGGGGAAAATCTGCTGCGCGTATTACGTAACGATGATCAACTGAACTTATCGAGTATAAAAAATTTATTCTTCTCAATTGTGTAAAGATAAAAACGGTTTTTTTTTTTCAAATGTTAATTTTATTAATTGTAGTCGATATTATTTTAATAATATTAAGTACCTACACAAATACTCTTTGTATCTTCAGTTATGAAGATTATTTATCTTATTAATTATTATATTATTATATTTAATTAATTATATTATTTATATGATTAATCTAATTAGTCATAACGTCAATTAATATTTTTAAATGCACTTCTCTGCCAAGACTCGATCCATTGATTTTATCGATTTATTTGGCAGCTGCCAGTTCTGAGAGAAAAGTAGATATAATTAAACTAAAATTAATGTAAAATCATCGTGCTAACATTATAATCATAATATTAACAGACCGGCACACACAATCCCAAGATGAACACTTCCATACGCTGGAAATCGCGCCAACCACCCTCGAAGATGGAGGCCTGTACGAAGCAATGGCAAGAAACCCAAGCGGCGCCATCAGTTGCCGTTGTAGCCTGGTTGTGGACAAAGGAATCAGGGCATACGTTGCTCCCGAGTTCTGCTGCGGTCTGGAACCACTTTACAGATTGAATGAAGGTGTGTTTTTTCTAAAACTTTTAAGACCTAGGGATATTTAAAAATCAATGAAACCTTTTTGATGTTTTGCAATTACCTGAATATTTTTTGTCAATAATAGGTGAAGAACTTAGAATATCAGCAGTGGTAGAGGCTTATCCATCAGTCGGTGTCACGTGGTACAGAGACGGGGTCCGTCTCCGTCCTAGTCGTCGAGCGATAATGACCTTAGACAGAGATGGCCAAATAGAGCTGGCTCTCGCATCCATAACTCCTCGCGACGCAGGAGTTTACACGTGTACAGCGTCGAATGAGGTCGGCAGGGCGTCTACCTCCGGGAAGGTGGAAGTGATTGAGGGAGAAGGATCTGTTGATTCTAAGAAATCTCCACCGATTTTGATAAGTCCAGATATACCGTAAGTGATAATGATATATCATTTTCTCCTCTTACTCTTGTACACATTACCTGATTACCAAAGCAAAAACAAATCATCCAGAACTTGTTGGTTACTTAATTCAGATTCAAGTTAATTTGATTTTGATTGCTCTTCTTATATGAAATAGTATAAGATGCCCACTAAAATTTTATATTGTTTGCTTAAATTAATAAGCATGCATTTCTATATTATTTATAAAGATCATCTACTTATAGAATACATATTATATCGGTGTTTCCCAATGTGGGACCCACGCCCCATAGGGAGGCAATTTGATAGTTAAGGAGAGGCAATTAAAAATGGACTCGAAGCGATTTTAATCATCTTGCTCCGGGCCATTTAATTGCAATGCTACGAGTAGATATCGGTGCCAAATTTAACAAAAAAAAGTAAAAAAATGCTGTAAATATTTATTAGCTACAATTTCGTTTGACGTTACCAAAATATCAATTGAGTGATTAGAGTCGTCAAGTAAACTTTGTCGGGAAAAATCATGTATGGGGGCATATAAATTTTAGAAATGCTCTAAGTGGGGCATGGCGCAAAAAAGGTTGAGAAACACTGTATTATATTATTTTAGATATTCCAAAGAGCCAATGTTCATACGGAAGCCGAGATCCAGCGAGGCCAGGGAAGGCGACACCGTGATTATTCAATGCGAAGTGGTCGGCGATCCCAAACCAGACGTCTTCTGGCTGAGAGACTTTTTGAAGGTATTTCTATTTTTAGACTCTTTAATAGCTGTTCCATCTGTAATATTTTTAACACAAGTGCAATAAGTGACGGAAATTGAGTATTAATTCTCTGAAGTGTTGTCTTTATGTAATATAATTAAATTAAATCTTTCCAAACACCTTCGCTAAACCGTCGTTTCAATGATCTGAAAATTATAAGATGCCTCCAAAAAACGGGTATATTTATGAAAATATAATACATTTAATAAAAAAAATTTTTGCTTGGACAGTCGGGTGAATAGGTTTTACTACTTAGGTACATTGAATTTGAAAATGAATGAATGATGCTTCATTGACAATTTGTTTAAATACATAGATTCACGATTTAATTCTAAAGCTAGATACATTGTTTACCAATGTGGATACCACTCAGCATATGCTGTGATACCGGGAAGTTCGCCACAGCGTTTCTCATATTCTTGGTAACTATAACAGTGGCATCACGAACGATATTGGCGCCAGTACAAATTATGATATGAGAATGATATAAATTATCAATAAACGACAATCAGAAGAAGTTAATTTTTAAAACAGATTATTGGGTTACGTTTCTACCTCTGTTTTCTCTTACATTTTTACATGACATCTAACGATGCGTCGTGACATTTGGGTTTCTTCGTATTCCAGCCTGATTACTATCGGGACGCGACACACTTCAAACGAGTGGGCGCCGGTCCCGAGTACCGTTTCGAGATCCCTCACGCCAAGCTTGACTATACAGGAGCCTATTCGGTCGTCGCCAGGAACGTTCACGGAGAAGCTAAAGCGGTTATATCTCTTCAAATATTGGCCAAAGGTAAAACGGCATTTTCTTATTATAGCTCCTGTAATTAAATTTTAGAGACTAGAAAATGATAATTAAAAAAATATATTTGAATTGTATTTTAATCTTTTCTTTTATATTCCAGACCCCAATGCGACCGAAGATGCCCATAATGTAAGATATGGGTATGTAAATTGATCTTATTATGTCTATTATTCTCGATTTGAAAGTAAACTTTACTATCATCCGTGGGGTCATTAAACCACGTTACTAACAGTGATTTCCCCATTCCCGGCATATATTAATATGATTTGGGTAAAAAATAACCTATGTACTTCTCCATCCCAACTACTACGTGTATACTAAATTAAAGCAGCAGTGCTCCTTTTAAAACATGACCAAAGGCTAACTTCGGTTGCCAACCCGTCAGCCAGGGGGAAAGGGATTGTTAGCAATGAAGTTTGACAGCCACATGGTTCCCCCAGGAAACTATCGTGAACAATTCTTATTGAATTCGTCACGATGGGCTAACTGACCTGCTTTATCCTCACCTATCATCATTCACTGGCGCCCCGCCGGTGTATACCGATAGCGCGGGTGGGATTATCATTCCATTATCACTCGTTAAAAAAAAATTCGCCAGCCAAGCGGGAAAACTACTGGTAAACCCTTATGGGGGAGGCCTACGTTCAACAGTGAAAAATTAACGACCGATACTATAATGATGCTGATGTTTTCATCAGCTACTAACTACGTTAACATACTAATATTAAGTTTTGTTTCGCAGCCGTGTAGAAGTTATACCTCGTTTCGAACGCGAACTTACTGATTTGTTGTGCTACGACGGTGACGCGATTGAGTTCGAGTGTCGTGTTTCTGGAAACCCTGAACCTGACATCCGATGGTTCCACTATACGGAGGTTTGTATATTTAATTCTAGTCTTAATCCAACAATTATGTATGAACACTTACCAACCAATGTGCTGATGAAGAATCACATCGTGAGCAACCAACGCAAATCTAACGAACACTGAGGTCCTTTCCAAATATCTGCGGCAATATAAGTCCTCTTCTAGCATTCTGGAATAGTTTAAAGGGGATGGAATAAAAACACTCTCACGCATAATGAGCTATTTGAGGGTATAAATGAGGAAAGCTCAGACAAACTAACAAATTAGGTATATAAAATTTTGTAAATTTTAAAGTTTTAACTCTAAAGATCCTATGGGAAATGTAAATTGAAAAGAACACGATACTATCACAGTCTGAAGAATTCCTTCCTACCAGTCGATCAACGGACAGAAATGTGTCCCAAATTGTTATGTAGTCATTCAGAACATGCATATGACACTGCTTTGATTACTATAAAAAAAAATAGTATAATGGGTAAGTAAAATATAATGCAACTTTCCAAATGCCTTGCATTTTTTTGCGTCTTTCAGGTCTCTCTGAATATATCTTTGGTCCTCTCATAGCTTTTTAATCTTACAGTTGATCCGACAATGCCCTGATTTCGAGTGGTCATTCGACGAGGGCACAGCTCGGCTAAAGATCAAGCAAGTAACAGCTGAAGATGAAGGCACATACATCTGTGAGGCCTCGAACAGCCTTGGGAAGGCCACGTCTAACGCTTGTCTCGTTGTTTACCGTAAGTAAACCTATATGTTCCACCTTGACACTACTGTCGTAAATATTTCAACTGCCTTCATAGCGCAGAGGTCAGCATGTTGATTTATAGATTTTATGGTCACAGATTCTATTCTCAGTCGGGCCAATTTGGAGAATAACTTTTCAATATTGCCTTTGATTTAGATATTCCGTGTGATGCTTTCAGGTGTTTGGAAATATTGACGTGCATGCATAATTATTAAATATGTCCTATAATTCTTTTGGCTTTGAATGAACAGCTCCTGGTGAACCCAACACCCTGAGCCAGCGGCTGCGGCGACCACCAGCGTTGCTGTCAGCTGCCTCCACGCCGCGTTCCACACCTCGTAGCACTCCAGCTAGATCCGTCTCCAGAACACCTGGTAATTCTACACTTCCAGATAAACTGTATATTTTTCTTACTTCATATTATCACAAAGTATAAATGTAATTAATTTCCAGTCTTTTCTATTCTAAGGATGTCGTAAGAAACGTCTAAAAAGTGAAATATACCGATTGATGTACGAATATGAACTTCCCATACAGTGGGAAACTAAAGTTTAGGTTTTTTGGAGAGGGAAATAAACAATCATTTTGGTACAATATATGTGGTCCTGCCAAAAATAGACCACCCCTTCCTTTCTCGTGGGTCTCATAAGAGGCGACTAAGGAAAGGCAAGGGATGGGCAGCAGCGTCCCACTTAAAACATCTCCAAAGCCTCTCTGCGGTTGCTAATCCGTCTGCTAAGCGTGCCATTTACTAGCAAAACCCATATTCCATTAATTAATATAAAAAAATTACTCATACTTAGTCATTGTATTTATTAATTTTCCAAAAAAATATTTATGTACAAAAATAATAAAATTAAATAATATCCACAGGCCCGGACCCGAGACGGCTCTGCAGCAGTCCATCCCGCCAAATGGCTCCCAAATTCTACACATATCCATTCAACAAAGTGGTCGAGGAAGGAGACCACGTAGTGTTCCAGTGCGCCGTCAAGGGTCTCCCCGCCCCTTGGGCCACCTGGGACAAGGACGGGATAATCATTACCCCTTCCTCAAGGATCACTGTTAGAGAGAAGGACGAGATCCTGAGGATTTTAGAGATCGAACAAGTGACGATAGAAGATGTCGGCCTATACAGGATAACCCTGGAGAATGACTTCGGCCGGGCTGAAGCCTCGGCGAGGTTGGAGGTCATCTCGCAGAAGGGAAAGTTCTACGCCGGAGTGAGGTCCTGCAGCGCGTCTCCGAGGAGATCGCTCTCGTACAGAAGAAGGATGCCTTCTTCGTCAAAAGACTGATGCTGCCATCTTGCCGTCTTGGCCGACTTCTGGAACTTTATGTGGAACGACGTAAGGCTCTTACCTTTTACTGCGAAGCGAAGTTGGGTACCCACTTTACGATTGCTCGGCGATTTGATGCTATGCGACTAATATCAACTCCTTGTACTGCATCTCTATATTAAACGTATTTATCTATTTCAGGATTTGAAAGGGCAACGATCGTGAGATGGATAATTTAATTTAATTTTGTTTTAATCTTCGCATTTTATTTATTAATTTATTTATATTGCAATTGACATTATTATAGTAGAGTTATAACAACGTTGAGTTTTTGTTTTGTTTAGGTTATATTTTATACGTGGTTTCACGCGCCTTCGCCACCAGAGTCAGGGACCTTGTACGCCATGACGCGAGGCGACTGTACTTCTGAAACAAACACTGGCGTCCAAATTAATGTTAATTAAACAATACTCAATATAAAATCATTGTGTAATTCACAACTTGTAAATAATCACAAAATACTTGTATTAATTTATAATACAAATTAAGATTTACGACGCTTGCATTTTTATCGATATCATGCACTATTAGAGTTTATTCATTAATTTAATAATTATTTAATTGTGTGATAAAAACGTCATTATAATTATACTAACGTCGTTGGATAATGGCGCGTGAAACGCACGCGTGTGCGAGCCGCACACACGTTTACGATCTGCCTGTACTATATACTGTACTGTACTTATTATCGAACCTTGTAAAGCATCCGAGTTTAGTCCAAAAATAGTCAGTTAGCGCACACACCTCGAGATATTGTGAAAATAAATTTTATCACTTATCATCATGTCGTTTGATTCCTATAAAAAAGTATACTATAACTATCCCTGAATTTAAATATTAATCTATTTAAGACTAGCCATCCGACTAGGCTTCGCACGAAAACACATAATTTTCTAAACTCAATACGTATAATAAAAAAAAGTTTCAGCCAATTCAACTGATCGATTATTTTATAGCATTTTATATATGATTCTTTAGATTGATATAACTTTTTTTTTGGAAAGAAGAAAAGAAAAAGTTGTAGTTAATAGGATGGAAAGTGGTAACCGTCGCCTATAGATATGAGCAGTACCACGGACATAACAGAGTATACTGTTTCGTCCATGATACCCCCCATGCGTTACCATTCCTGAGGACTCAGATGTTATTCCTCTGTACCCTGTAAATTCACGCTATATCCCACCCTTCAAACCGAAACACAGCCAAGTTAACACAGCTGCTTCACGGTAGAAACACAAATGGGACAGAGGTACCCAAGCAATCGACTTTTTTACAAAGTCTCCCTCTGAGGACTTTTTCATTTATGAACCGATTGAAATAAAACAAACACTAAATGTTGTGGAGCAAAGTGCAACGCATTAGGGAAAACCTTTCTGAGAGTAGCGTGCACAAACGTACAGACAACAAGACAAAATTCTAAAAATCATTGTTTTGGGTTCTATTGTGTTCGTAAAGCCCCCCTATATTAGTTTTTATTATGTATCTTCCATGTACAGACAGCGACCAGTTACGATTTTATTATATGTATTGAATTGTGTAGAAGCGACACTAGGTACTTTTTTGTGAATGAGGCAAAATGCAGGTAGGTACCCTTGCCTTCCTTTCAATACCAACATAGGGTTGTCACAAATTTATTCGCATTTAACGAATTTTTTCTATATAGTGCGACTCACTTGCGAAAGGTTGGAATGCACTCTCACTGCAGTATCTGTTAGTTATTTGCAAAATGAAAAATATTAGATACTAACATACCTCAAGCGGCTGTGAGCACACCAATGTGGGTTTCTTTTTTAATGGATGATAATGGAATGGTAACCCCACCCGCGCTTACGGTATACACCGGCGGGGCACCAGTGAAGGATGATAGGTGAGGATGAAACAGGTTAGTTAGCCCATCGTGACGAATTCAATAAGAATTGTTCACGATGGTTTCCAGGGGGAACCACCTGGAGGTCGACCTAATAAGGCAAATTGCTAACAATGGAGCTATCAAACTTCATTGCTAACAATCCCTTTCCCCCCAAATGTGGGTAGTTATTAAGTTCACACGAGTGTCGATTGTTGATTGACTTTCACACAGGCCAAAATACCAACCTTACTAAAATGTGTTGAATAGTTGAAAGTTACACAAATAAATATTGTAGCCGTGCGAAGCCGGGGCGGGTCTATATATATATATATATATATATATATATATATATATATATATATATATATATATATATATAACCATCAAAACCTATGGCGATACATATTTTATATATATTTATTATTTATTTATTTATATGCTTTTGTATATTCCATTATAATATAGATATTAGGTTAAAACAAAATGTAGGTACACAGGCAGATTTATCCTTTAAAGGGATTTCTTCCAGTAACCCTGAGAACCCGAAAGGGGAAAATATTTATAGGGTTTGTATATAAAGCATAACGTATAAGGTATACAACACTAATACTGTTCATATTAGATGGGCCGTCAGCTTATTTACCATTTTAAGTTACATAAAAAAAAATAAAAGAAGTGAAAAATAAAAAATTCAATAAGTAAATCATGAACAATTTTTAATATATATTATAATCTGTACATCTTCAAAAATATAGTCCAAAGAAGAGAAAGTATATACATACATAAACATCACATTATATATTATATTTTAAACACACTACAGGGACTTAACGCGGTCAGAAAGGCAGGTAAATAGTTCTTCAAACAGCCCGCCGGAAAGAGAACGTCGGCAATAAAAGCAGGTATGTAGGTACCATTCACCAGCTTATTTCACATCACACTAAATCCCGATAGTGTGTTTAAAATATGTACAAACAACGCAAAAGTTTAAAATTAACTATCACAATATATATTTTTAACATATAAAGAAAGCTAAAAGAATTAATTCCTTTTCGTATTATAGTTTAAAAAATACCAAATAGTTCTACCTATGTACAAATGCGCTACTTACACAAAGTTGGCATTAAGGACATACTTTTTTTATATATATATATATTTTTAAAACATCAACACATTCAAAGTCGCATAGATAAAAAGACCACTTGCTTAAACTAGAAAACGAGAGTTTCAAATATTAAAACAATATGCGTATGAAATGATTTACGACTTACAAGTCGGTACACTTGTCATAAATTGAGCATAAATAATGCAAAGGTATGCACTCTACTAAAGTATGTTATACATACAATATATATATATATATATATATATATATATATATATATATATATATATATTCTTGTTTATAAATTGTACGGTTACCATCAAAAATCAATAGACACATTATGATTTTCAATACCATAATTACATACACTGTATATTCTGTAATATAAAATAAATAAATATAATAAATATTATATAATATAAAATAAATTTAAATAATTGCCATACAATCATACCAACTGCCTGGTCCTAATAAAGCTAAGGTACCCTGTGTATGAGGCACCAGGCAACGAGCATCTGAAGGCATCACCTACAACAGCCAAACTGGAACCAATTTAGAAAATCGACCTGGCTGAGAATCGAACCCGAGACCGCATTTATGCAAATATATATATATATATATATATATATATATATATATATATATTTATATATATATATTTATATTTATATATATATATATATATATATATTATAGCAGAGTACTTATAGAATCCAATACTAGTGTAAACCTTAATTAATTATTTATGTACGAAACGAGGTTAGAGTTTTGAAAATCTTTTAAAGTTCATCGACTTTTGACGCTGACTTACATCATCTCTTCAGATTAATACCAATACGGTCTCACCACAAACAAGTTAAACCAGGACTAGCTATCTCAAAAATTAAATTTTTTTTTTATATTACAGTGAAACCTTAAAGGTACTCTGAGGACCAACATAAACTAAACTAATAGATTTAAGCCAAAAGTATTATATATATATATATATATATATATATATATATATATATATATATATATAGGTCAAGAGATAAGATTAGAGAAATGGCATTAAGATATCAAATATAAACCTCATAATACAGCTAATTCTAAGAAATTAGCTGTATTATGAGGTTTATATTTGACTAATTTAATTATAAAAAAAGAGATATAATTTATTATTTAGTACATTTTTTTTATTTTATTATATCGACTATTAACTATACATTGTTGGACATAAGCCCTCTCCCCCATAAGAGGGGGATTTGTCAATAGTTGCCACGTTTGACAAAAAAGGTTGGCAACCGCAGTTAGCGTGTATTTAGCAGAAATACATTATGAATAAATATGCCTTTTCAATGTATTTGTTACATTATCATTCTGAGACACTATTTATAAACCCATTCCGACCATGACACCGGGGCTTTTGTGACAATGGGACCTATTCAGAAATACACCTCATTGTTATATAAATGGCCCAGGGATGCGCCAGCGTCCCTTTCAAAACGACTTCAAAGCCTAACTGCGGTTGCCAAGCAGGGCAACTATTGGTAAATCCCCCATAGGGGTAGGCTTATGTTCAGCAGCGGACAGTTAACGGCAGAAATAATTTACATATACTTATAATAAATCTGTAGAGAGGTCAATTCTGTACATGAAATATATTTCCAAAATAACTATCAGCGGGTGATTAGTAATCGATACTAATGTTAAAAATGCAATCAGTAAAATTTATGTCTGTCTATTTGTATATTCGTTATAGAAACAAAAATTACTCTACGGATTTTAACGAAACTTGGTACAATTATTCTTCATACTCCTGGGCAGGTTATAGTATACTTTTCATCACGTTACGATCAATAGGAGCAGAGCAGTGAAGGGAAATGTTAAAAATGTCCAACGGTGCGACGCCGGGACGGGCCGCTAGTATTGAATAAATTTATCAATTTTTTATTTGTACTAATTACTGGACATCAGCTGACTGTCTTATGGTCAAGTCAATAATGCGTTTTTTTTACATTCCCATTTAATTCCATGAAACACTATAAAAAGGCATTCTGTAATTTTTAACTATTTGTGGTAAGACCGATGTATGGAAGTATTCTCAATTTCTCAATATAAGGTTTTATAAACTTGAGAACGCATCCAATCGAATTTGATTGATATCTTGGCATTTAATGATATTAATCTGATAATGAGAAACCCATAAAATTGTGTTGACAATTATCTGTATAGGGAAAATATAAATCTAGGAGCTCTCATATCTCTAGATACTGGGCTACTGAGCTAAATATGGTTATATCTACGTGTCCTTTATCCAATATGAACATTAATTTATTATTAACCCTTCTTTGCATGATTTTTTTTGGTCTAAAATATAATTCGTGTTCAAAATTAAAGGAAAAATGGTTAAAAATGGCATTCGATGTTATGATGGAAATTTCCACCGTTATGCAAAGAAGGGTTAAAATTTTAAAATACATACTGTGTAAGTAACTATATTTAATTACCATTTATATTTAAATATATATGGAGATTTAATAATATATTGAATATATATGTAATAGGTACATAGTTCCAATTGATATGTCGTTTTAATATTTTTTTTTATATAATATTGTATTTGTTATATATATATATATATATATATATATATATATATATATATATATATATATATATATATATATATATATTTCGAACAAAAAAATAGCAATCGGTACAACCGACATAAGACTCTCTTTATATATTTAACGTACTCTAAAAATATACCACAGTCACATTTAATAAAAACTATATTTACAATGAAATATACTCTCTATTACTATGTCGTTAGGTCGACAATTAA